AATTTAACATGGAGAATCTGACTGTCTTCTTTAAGCTAATCATTTGATAGAAGGATTCAAAAATTAATACATCTTAATTTTACCCAGTAAAAAAGCAAAATTCTACAAGTTAGGCAAGTACAATAACATCCTTAAGCTGGATTCATCAGTTAGAAATAATTAAAGAAGAAAAAAATTTTAAGTGTTTTTGATTAACAGGCAAAGAATATACAGATGTTCAAAGCTGGCAATTAGAACTCATATTTTTTTCTTGCCTGTTCATGTTTCTTTTGTAAAAGTGTCATGGTTGTCTCTCAGTCTAAAATTGCTAATCCAAGTTGATATTATAAATAAAAATGTTTGTGGTACAAAGTCCTGAAAATGTTCCTGCTCACAAACAAGCAGTATTATTTTTGACTTCCTTCTTTCCTTATAGCAATAGCAGTTCAGCTGAAGGATCCTGTATCTGTATTTGTCTATTTGTTACTACCATAATTAAAATACTTATCACATGTGCTGATTCTATAATGATAGGACAGTCACGCCTTCATTAGCTATTGTGACTGCACTGAAAGTCTTTAGCATGGCTGTTTTATGTAGTCTCATTTCTTCCAGATGATCTTTAATTCACCTTTCCATACTCCTAAACACATGTGTTTATGTGTATACATTTGTATAAACCATGTTTGCTTCTACTAAAATTCAGATTGACTTAACCTTTCTCAAACTCCTTACAGGGTGATCTTAGAATGTGAAATTAATAACCTTTGGTGACCATTAAACATCTATATTTCAATTCATAAATATAACAGATATTGGAATCTGACACGATAAAACCCATATATTGAGTAAAGAGAAACTTCTCAACCCCCAAAGAAAGCCACTGCAAATGTTTTCACATTAGGTTGATTACTGCCACTATATAATATTATAAATTTGGGGAACTGCTTAGAATGGTCAAGTTCCTTAGCATTCCTTTGAGCAGAAACAAACAATTTAAAAGGAACAGGAAAAAGTCAATGAATTCAAGTGGGAAATGGAATTTTTTGCTGAAACCATCTGAATAATGGTTATCACCTAAGTTGGTAAGACTAGATACTGTTCTAGAAGTCTTGTGAGGGCTGCCATTGCTTTTCATGGACTGGAGACTACAAACTGAGTTTTGATGGAAATAAGCTCTCAGATCCAAGATGTCAACTGAGTTCATTGTTCCAATATCTATTCACCTTGACTCATCACCCTGCAAAAGGCTAAGGTTTCATGATACACGTTTATCTTCACCCTTCAAGGAAAGGGATCCCTTACTATAATTCCCAATTTCTCACAGTTATTTTCATTATTCCTACCTTACTGCCATTATTGTGTTGTTTCCTTAATCCAAATCTGTGTACATTAACATAGAATGCTACATCTGGGACTCCAATTCTGGACTTCATTTCTGATGGCTACATGTAAATACAAGTCATAGAGTGGTCATCAACTTGAGTGACATATTCATCCTCTCCTAATGAATATGTTCCTTGGAATTTAGAACTTTATAGAATGAGTAACAATTACAGAGTAAGAATTTTGGTTCATTCACATAATGATGAGGCACTATTGACCTTTTGACAAGGATAGTGTTTGTATCACTGGCTATCATTTCTTCCTTAACAAACAGGTCTGGTATTAAAATAAGTGACAATGCATCATAAAGAAAATTGAATATTGGTATTCAATATCAACATATTTTTATATTATATAAAAATATATATAAAAGAATGCAAAGTGTGACTCTTAAAATTAGTCATTAAATATATGTATTCAAATCACAAAATACTCTTTTCCTGTTGGTACTGAGTGGTACTGAGGTCTGAACTCAGGATATCACACTTGCTGGCAAGGAGCATTATCACTTTAGCCACACTCCCAGCCCTTTGTGGTTTAGCTCTTTTTCAGATAAGGTCTCATGTTTTTGTTTACATAAAACCTCAACCATAATCCTTCTACTTATCCCTCCTGCTTAGTAGGGATGATAGGTGTGTGCACCATACCAGTTTATTTGTTAAAATGATACCATTAACTTTTTTCCTAGGCTGTTCTTGAACTGCAATCCTCCCAATCTCTGCCTTCCAAGTAGCTGGGATTACAGATGTGAGCTACCATGCCCACCACATGAAATACCCTTTTGTTATTATAAGTAGTAGTTTGATTTTCAGGGGAAAAGAGGGAAAATGTTAGGCACTCACCATGTACTAGGAGTACTTTATACTTATTTCATTTAAGGTTCATAACAAAACCATGAGCTAATCATTAGGAAGAGGCATAGGAGGTTAGAGAACCAAGAGAGGTAACAGACACACGATTCCACTGTAGATTGGTTGGCAGGCCAATCTATCAGGCTTTGTAGACTGTGCTACTTCAGTGCACAAGGGAGGAATCCCATCTAGCATTTCGTATGTATTTTCTCTCTAAGTCTTCCCTCTTCTCCTAAGTGAGATTCCCATTGTCCTTTTCCCCAGAAAACTATGGGGAAATAGAAAAGAGATTTGGACATTCTTGGTAACAGATTTGTGTTGAGACAAGAGAATTTGGGGGTCCACTTAATACATATCAAATAAATAGCTATCTCCTGGGCCCACATCCCAAGCCAGACTTCCCAACACAACAGCAATTGAGATCTTTAAGCAAAGTGAGACAAGTAAATGTAAAAAAAAGAAGACATACAAGTCAGTTATATAAGGCCAACATTTTGTAAGGAGCTACTATTACTGTTAGAGAGACATATACCTTGAACACTAAGCCTGTCTGGATATTTAGGTGTTGCTGAGGGAAAAAACAAAACACAGTGGTCCAAACTAATAAGGAGGACAAACAAAATAGGGCCAGGAAACTCAAGTCCCACATAATTATAAGTGATCAGTTTTGATATCCTTTCAATTTTTGACCCTTGTGCCATAGAAGGTTTAAGACAGCCAGTTTTGGTGACCATCAGTTCTTTTCAGTTATCTAACATGTCTAAATAATGATCATTATCAAATACTACATGTACATCGGTGACACCTCAAAAAGAAGTAAACAGTAGACTCTCTCTCAGATAATGAGCTCAGGTTACAGATTACTGATGCCATAGACCCTCTTTTGAATTTCATTCCAGGTTTTTGCTAGCATTTGCTCTATAATAGGCACTGTAACCTCCCTAGATCAAAACAAACTTGTACAGAAGATAGTTGTTTTACATTCTCTTAAGTTATTAAAAGCTCTATATAAAATGGCTTATGTAGATAATTATGACCAATGATCTACATGGAACATCAAAGATTCTTTTTTATAAATATATTTATGCCAGAAAATGGAAACCAAAAATGTCAAATTATCAGCAACTAAATGCAACCGAATGTGAAATCAGAACAATATTGCAAGCGATCTATTAACAGTGAGTTGTTCTAATTCTCCAATGACCCTTTTTACTATCAACCTATTCTTATTTATGCTTAGTCAGAATCTCAACCTGCCTTCTGGCTGTAGCAAAAACTATTCAATTAAAATGTTAAATTTGTCCAAATATCAAAACATATATCAAGTGGATATTTAAATCACAAAAGTATCTGCTATTTTCCACCCCAGGTCTCTTCCACTGCTACATGTAGCACACTGTAAGTTTGTAGCACCCTCATGTGGTTTAATTGGAGTGCTTTCTTAGGCATTTGAAACCAGTTGCCTGAAACTGAACAGTGGAACAGACTATAACTCAACATGGAAGTTCTGCTGGCATTATAAACCAAGAAAGGAAAACTAAAGTCAGCAAAATTCTAAGATGAATGTACAGGCTCAATTCCTAACTTATTTGCTACCCACTGTTCATTTTATGTGATTTCTAGAAAGGTTAGTTTACAGGCTTCTATAGCCTGTTTCATCTTTGTTTGATAGTAACCCCAATGTTTGAAATCAAGCATTTGACATGAGCAACTATTGAAAATATTAAAAAGAACCTAATCTTTCCCCCAAAAGAAAAACAGGTGTTCTGATTGCCCACTTTGTGCACATCTCGATTAAGTTATATGTTGCAGTTAACGTTGTTAAATAGACAAGCAGTCCAAGTTTTGGGATCTTCCACTGTTCTCAGCAATGTTTTCAGTAATTACATTTTCTACATCGCCTCAAATCATTTGAGAAAAACTTATTCCCCCAACTTTTTCTTTCTCTAAACATATTCCTATGCTTCTAGGTGAGTCTTCTTTCCAATAATAGTGCATTTCAAGGGAAGACGCTAAAGTCTATGCTATCTTTCTTCATTTGGTAGTAAATGCTCCTCTTATCAAAGATACATGTTTAAAATTTATCCATGATTTTATAACCCTGAGGTACTCCAGAACAGTCTGCTTAGGAAAAATAGAAAAAATAGATGCTAAAGCACTGACATCCAAATATTCTCAACATGAAAAGATATTTAAAAATAATTGGCTGTGAAGGAGATAAAAATGCAAATTAGTAAGAAGTAAAGAGTCTATTAACAGAAACATGAATGTGGTTTATTTGTATGCTGAACTGGAAGACCCAATGTTAAATATATCAGTAAAATGAAAGAGGAATGCAGTTTCTCATCAACATACAATTTGATGAGTTGTAGGTTGATATCAAAAAGCAAAACTAAGCTTAAGAATTTAAGAGACAGTTTATAGAAAACAGGAATACTGTTTCATTCCTGATTAATAGAATTTAAACCTAGGTAATATTTGGTAACTAAATAACATACATTCATAAATGCATAAATTTGAATTCTGGCAAATTGAAAAAAACTAGTAAAAGTATCACAATGTTTTATGACCAGACTGGAAGTAGAAGATGATTAAAAACAGTAATAAAAAGGTAACATCTAAAAGGCACTTCCAGTTGTTCCCTGGTTATGGTTACCATTTTCTAATGTTTGTAGCATTTAACTCATGAAGCAGAGCTTTGGTCAAGTGCTTAGGGATAAGAAGAAGACTACTCAAAAATTGCACAGAAGACATATGGAGTGAGTCAGAGCATCGCTGCTTTACCTGTTGAGCCCTTGCAATGTCTTCTCCATGTTTAGAATGTCACGCATCTTATATAAAAACCATTTGTCAATGGATGTGAGTTTCACAATCTCATCAAGGGACATGTTGTCTTCCAAGGCCTGCCAGAAGGAGAAGAGACAATTTCTTTGCAAACATTTTATAAACGTCTGATTTGGTTGGAAACACACAGTAACCGTTTCTCTCCATGTTATTTAGAGAGCTTGAGGTGCTCCACTGAGATATGAGACATGAAACTGACATCATTGTTATTTCCAATAAACCTAAGGATGTCACCAACTACAACCATACCACAGATGTCATACAGAGGAGGTGCCTGACCTGAGTTGTCAGAGTGGTGTGTACTCAGAACAGACCCAACAGGTTCTATTTCCTCCTCTTTATTTGACCAGGTTACCAATTATATATGTCCTTACATTTAGTACATCTCTATGGAATTTAAAAAAAAAGATCTCTTGAAACTTGAAACTACATTTAGCTTGCATTCGTGATGATCATCCTTCAGCACATAGCATATTTTTATCTCTCATTCTACATTCACTCAAGCACACAATAGTAGGAATCTATGAGTCTGATTTGGCTTGGTATTATTTCCCTAGAATATTTCCTACCAGAGGGATTCAAACAGAAAATTATTTTGAAACAGTTACCGTGACTTTTGTGGCAAGAGAGGCATTTGACAAAATCCTAGTGTATTTCAAAACAGTGTCGTAATAACTTAGGTTCAAGAGGCAGCTCAGCCTTTTCCTCAAGCTTACTTTAGCAATTTCTCAAAAGTAAAATTACAACTGACTCATTAAACTGAATCAAAAACACACCTGAAAGAAGAGATAAATTCAAAAAGCCTTCATATTCAAAAACCGTCTTTCTTATAATCTTACATATGCATACAAATATACACACACATATATATATCCAGCAAAAATCAGAGTATTCTAAAATAACTTATTTTTAGAATGGGAGCCCACACTGTCAAACCCCATAAATTATATATATATATATAACTAATAACTCTGCTGTTATATCACTACCAAGAGGGGTTAGTTTTCTTAAAGATTTATTCATTTCTAGTATCAAAGAGACCATGATTGTAAGTTGAGGTATAGCATAACTCACAATTCTATCAACTAGAATAAGATGATATCTAATGGGACACTCAATGTCATGTACATTTCCTCAGTTTGTTTATATTTATTTATTGTGTATAATTCTCCCAAAAATTATAGTACAATTCCCAAGAACTATGATCTGTTTTATTTTCCCAGTGATTAAGGGCACTATTAGTTGTTGGCCCATCAACTGTGTCAGGTTGATAAAATGTGTTCACCCAATCATTCACAGTGAAAGGGAGCCCGTAATCCTGTAGTCTATGAGAAAGGACAACCTATAGTCACATTCACAGTCTCCATCAGAAAGCAAGACCTGCCAGCCAGGATTTCATCTTCATGCACTGTAGCTTTGCCAGCTAACGTGTAGTAATGAAGCCCATGATGACCCCAAACACATTTCAGGTTACTTTAGTAAAAATAAAAAATAATGCCCTGCATTCTCCCCAAATCAAAAGAGATGACGATCCAGTCATCCTGAAATAAGACTGCTGCAAAAATTAGACCTCAGAGCAAGTTGCCCTTTTCTAAGAATCATGAAAGCAAGAGATTTACACACTCCCTTCATTCGTTTTCCCCTTCAGCCTTCCACCATCCTTACACTCTTTGTCAAAATCACCAAGTTCCTGGTTGCTGTGGAAATGAACAGTAATGATGACCTCTAACAAACAGAAATCAGTTCCTTCTCCCAGCACTCTGGCAGACAATAATTTATATCTCAGAACCTGTACTCCTTGCTTGTACACAGGGTACTCTGTGCAAGACTGAACCTGCACATTTTTACCCTGAATTCTCATCCTTCATAAGTCTGTTAGAAAAGAATGAGAGATTTGCTTCAGTTTTACAGCTTAGCTGAGAACTTGGAAATGCTTCCCTTTTTCATCTGCCTCAATGTGGCAGAACATGATTGCTAGACTTAAGGAAAAAATTCTATTTATTGTCCTTTGCCTGAAGTGAAAAAACTATATCTATATATGTATGTACTTATGCATCCACATATCCACATATGAATGTCATGAATTGCCTTTAAGTAAAGGACTAAAATAGGAGCAATAAATAAAGCAAAATGGCTTTTTTGGAATAACCTTTCATCACTGCTATCCCCACCACACTCCAGTAATTTTTAAACTGAATAATAGAAAAAATGTTCATCAAAAGATAATAGTATCTTCCAGAATTTCAATAGGACTTAAGTATTCTGCATTTAGAAACCATAAGAGTGTGCAGGGTATATATATTAGATGCAATGAAGGATACATTCCTTCCTCTCTCCCCAGGACTCTCAACACCTAGACATAAAAGTTGCTGTAATTCAAAATTATAAAAGCATTTTTCTGTTGCTACAAAGGCAAATTATAAAGTCATATTTTTTCTTTAAAATAAATTCTTATTTTCACTGAACAGAGATACACACACACACACACACACACACACACAATGGTCAGCAGAGCTTTGTAGACCAGTGTGGTTTGATAATGTTGGGAGGATTATTGCCTATGCTTCCTTAAATGTCAAAAAGCGATTCAGGGATTTCTGACCAGATTCCAGCTGCCCAAGTCACCTTTTATGAAATCAGATGAGCTGAAACTTTAACACTCTAAGCACAGTAAATATGAAAGGAGATTAATATGGCATTTAATTTGCATGAAAAGCAACTAGTGGATAGAAGTGAGAAATGTGGAGCTTTTTTGTTCTAAAAGTAACACCGGTAAAATAATTACATGGAAAATCCTATAATCGTAGCTCCTTTATACTCTGTTGTTCAAACTCAGGAAAAGAGCAAATAAATTAGGATTATTCTGGGGTCTTACACATACTAAATAATGCTGCCGTATGTATCTTCCTGTTTAAAATACAATTTTAAATATTTTAAAGAAACAACTAATAAAGGTGATAGGAAAGGACAAGTCAATATTGACAAATCTACTTATGAGTATTTGAGGCTACCTACTATAAAAAGAAGGGACATTTTATCCATGTAATAATCTCTTAATATCTCAATGTGCCCTCAGGTCCAGGCTTGAAGTCAAATTTTAAAAGGTTATTTTTTATTAATTATAGAATAGCTGATAAATTCCACAAAAGTCTCCAATCTTCCATAGAAGTCTCTATGAAAGAGAACTAAAAAATTTTCCCCAAGTCCCTAAATTCAAGACCACTTTGTGATTCAGCTTTGACTATATTCTGAATGTGTGTGTCCATGCAGTTCTGGCCCTTGGCCTGTATTACCTTGGCAATGGCATAGATGCGAGTGCTGGAGGGATCAGATAGCTCTTTACTGAGATCCAGGTTTGATGGCCATTCCTTGTTCATTGGGAGTCGGGGAGTGAAACCATCTACAGATGGGTGGCACATCCGTAAAGCCTTCTGGAAACTCTCCTCAAAGGTGCGACCAATAGCCATGACCTGGAATACACAATTATGCTCTTATATTGAAAGAAGGAACATAGCTATTTTTAATTTCTAGCATAATTGGATGCAGAACATTCTTTACAAAGACTTAGGAACAAAAAATATATAAGAATACTACTCAAATTTTAGGGTATTGTTTTTTGATTCCTCTTCCCTTTCTCTGTGGTTTTAGTGCAATGAGTCTTTAACATTAGGTCAGTCTTTTACTACTTAGAGAATTCAGCTGTATTTGCTAAGACTGATGAGGAAATTGCTTGTACCTGATCAGAACCACGGTAGTATTAAAATAAGGAATATGTAGCCAGAGCATACAAAGCCTTTCTTTTTTTTTTTTTAATTTTTTTTAACAATCTTTTTTTTTTCTTTTATTATTCATATGTGCATACAAGGCTTGGTTCATTTCTCCCCCCTGCCCCCACCCCCTCCCTTACCACCCACTCCGCCCCCTCCCTCTCCCCCCCCTCAATACCCAGCAGAAACTATTTTGCCCTTATTTCTAATTTTGTTGTAGAGAGAGTATAAGCAATAATAGGAAGGAACAAGGGTTTTTGCTGGTTGAGATAAGGATAGCTATACAGGGCATTGACTCACATTGATTTCCTGTGCGTGGGTGTTACCTTCTAGGTTGATTCTTCTTGAACTAACCTTTTCTCTAGTACCTGTTCCCCTTTTCCTATTGGCCAAAGCCTTTCTTAATAACATCTCACTTTTATACCTATGTTCTTTAGAAGAGAAAGCAAATAAAGAGAAAAGATATATATACAAAATAGGGCTAATTTTAAATTAGTATCAGTCAATATCCATGACAGGTTTGCTTTCTTTACAGCTAAACATTAATATTAATAGAATCTTGAGAATCATAACAAATACTGATAGATTATGGTTTCTGAACATAGACAGAGATTAAATTCCCCATGACAAATGTGATGTGTCTTTCCACAATCTTCACAGCTGATTGTACACTAATCAATTAGAAAAACCAAATGGTGATTTAGTTTGAACAAGTTACAAGTCAGAACTAAACTTAAATTGACCTTGCATCCTACCCAGTTAGTTTCATTGGATGACCATGTCTTTGAATCTTTACATGGAATAATAGATTACTATGCATTTTGGTCTCCAATTTAACATAATAGGAGTCATAATACTCCCTTTAATAAACTTTCATGATTCCTCAAATAGACTCAAATTCCCACCAACATCAGTTTAGGAAATCTTCATGTCAACTGTGTGACAAAATACATAGTCAAAGATTACTAAAGCCAAACATAACCTTTTCGCACTGTTCCAAAATTTAATTAGAAAAAAGGGAAGATTCACAAGAACAGGGACAGAGAAACTGTTAGTTCCTTGCAGATATGCAATTTGCAAGTCACAGTGGTATCTTAGAAAGTTAAACAATATATTTGTTGATTATGTAGTTCAGACATAGAAGAGACTGGTGTTATAAAACTAAAAAAGGTTTTGGGATATTTAATAAAACTTGAAGTATTACATATTTAAAATTTAGCCCAAGTAACTAGTTCTATAACTCTCCATATGTTCTACTATTATTAAACATCCTGTACATAATGACATGTTATCATTATAATGGTACCATAATGGCATATGGAATTATTCATTAGGAAAAGAAAGCATTCCTATATAATAATAAAGACATTCATAACTTTAAGTCTTTGCTCAAAATTGGTGATTTTAAATCCTTTACATCATTAAAATTCACTATTATTAAGTGAAAATTCTGTCATTTTTTTAATAGACTATATCATGGACTTCCTTGAATCTATTCTACTAGAGTTCTAGAACACCATTTTTAAGTATTCTTAATTGTCACCACAGATTAGTTGATATTATATCTGGTTCTGCTTATATATTCTGAAATTTTCAACTTCAGGTAAAGTATCACAATTATGTACAACTTATTCATTGTTTTGTCCTCTCAGATTGTTGTATATAGTCAGAGATCAGAAATGTTTGCTAATTTGAGCTAAACTAAGTGCAAGGTATCAAATATTCACTAACAATAAAAACGCTTCAGACGAGTCTCAAATGAAAACATTGCAAAATTCTCCCAAATTCTTTAGCCTGCAAATTGTACTGTGAACATCATGAGAAAGACCACCTCTCATGAAGTTTAAACTAAATAACAGCAAGTTATTTAGCTAAAACACTATCAACACAGCTTTTCATGGCATTAAAGTTCTCATTCTATTTTTCCTTAAAAAGCATGATGGAAAAAAACAGAGCTTCAAGTAACCAGGAAGCACTGTACACATGTATGGAATTATCACAATGAAATCTCTTTGTATGATAAACCAAAAATAAAATTTAAAAATAAAGTAAAATAACTAGGAAGGAGAAAAAAACACTTTTTGATGTTTTAGAATGAATAAAACATTTTCATTTAAAAGGTCAAGTTGCTCCTTATCTGTCATTACTTTAAACTCTTCCATTATATATGTATGAAAGTAGCATAATGAAACCCAATAAAAATGATTAAGAAGGTGGAGGAGGGGGAAAGGGGAGTAACAGAGTAATATAAATATGGTGAGTTGATTAAATCTCATTATATGTACATATCATAAATGAAACCTCTCTGTGCAATTAATTAACACTAATAACTTTTTAATTTATTGGAAATTAGGAAATCAAAATAATAATAATTCTACCTTTCATGTGTAAATACAATAAACCAGTAAAATGCATTTTTTCCTTTTTCCTGAATTTATGATGAATTTAAGCTGTATTTCTTATGATTGGCAGCATATATTTCTGAAATAGCTAGTCTATTTAAGCTAGAATCTGTGATATGGAAAAAAGAATGCCAGTAGTGAAAATGTGTAGTAAACAATTTTTTGTCTGTATTCTAACCAACTTAGGTACCTACAAATAGACTAATAGTTCCCACAACACAGAAGATAAAGTAAAATAATGATAGATCAATAGATGATGATGATGATGATAGATAGATGCATAGATAGATGATAGCTAGATCGACAGATAATGATGATAGAAAGATAGAAGATAGACGATAGATAGATGATATAGATAGATGATAGAGATAGATAGATAGATAGATAGTAGATAGATTCATGCATACTTCTGGTGCTCAAAGTCTCTACACTTATACAACATTTACTAATATAATGTAATAGTAATAATGTGTTACTTTTATTGGGGAATATATCATGAATTTACCTTAAAATCCATTACTGAACACTTTTTATATGCACTAATTCTACAACTTATAAGAACCCTATGAGATAGATATTGTCATCTGTGTATTGTAGGTATGAATCTTGAGGTTCAGAGTCTTGCCTGAAAAACTCTAACTAGTAGTGTAAGTAAGCACCAAAAGTTACACCCAAGTCCATCTGGTTCCAAGGCACATAGATGCTCCACTAGGTCAGACCTCCTGGTTGCAAAAAGAAAGAAGTCTTAAGGGAGTTGGGGGGAGAGCAAGAGAGTAAATATCAAAGGCAAGGATCTGAATTCCTTTCTTTCCTTCCACCTTTGAAGATGGAAACTCAAAAAGTTAAATTTAATTTCAAGTAGTATAACATAGAGCATTACAAAAAATCTTCTAAAGGTGCTAAAAGCTTAGAACTTTCCAGTATAATGGGGACTTAATATTCCCCTGTGCTCTTCTCAATTTAGAATTTTTGAGCTGGATGGGCCCAAAGATATCATTTAGTCTACCCTCCTCCTTTATAGATGTGGAAAGTTGAGGCCCATGGAGATAAAAGCCACAATTCATGCGAATGGACTAAAGTCAAATTCTTAACCTGAGTTCAGTAGTCTTTTGTTTTACTATGTCTTTTATACTATTTTACTTTCATTGATTGGGTTATAAAACATATTAAGACTTGTATTTATATGTGTGTTTTTATATGTGTGTATACATTATATATCCACACATGTAGCCTCACCTTTTTTATAGAAGGACTCTGAATTCATCAAAATGACCATGGAACAAATGCCATATGCTACCAGTCAAATGGAGTGATGTTAAAACACTAAGGAGGAAATGAAATTCCTGTATGTTCTCCAACTAGGAACCCAGTGTCTAGGCAACCTCTAGAATTTCAATGGCATTAAAATTTGACAGTATAACTGAGAGAAGTTTCAAGAGCAAATAGAATAAACCCAAACTCACCTCTCCTACACTTTTCATTGAGCTTCCAATTCGGCTCGATGTTCCATGAAAACGATCAAGATCCCAGCGAGGAATCTTGGTTACCATGTAGTCCAGGCTAGGTTCAAAGCAGGCTGATGTCTTCCCGGATACAACATTCTTGATTTCTGGAAGTGGAATTCCTAGGGCAATCTTTGCTGCAATGAATGCCAATGGGTATCTGTAAAGGAGATCAATTTACTTTTGTTTTACTTTTTTCTTTGAATAGTATTGAAAACAGCTCAAAATATAAATTGATCTTTCTTTAAAATCTGGTATTATTCCACTTCAGTGTATAAAATGTATCTTATTCTCTATTCTATACAAATATTTAAAAGCCACTTATAAAATAATATGGCATGGAAGTGTAAAGGCACAGGAGAATCCACTGTGTTGCATGCATTGCTGTACTTCTAGCCTTCACCTCTTCAACCCAAAATCAATAACTTCCTTGATAAATGATGTTTACTCACCACTTGTTTTAACCTCTACTGAGATGAGAATCTGAAAAATATTCTTTTGAAAAAATAATATTCACATATCTGTATTTAGGAAGGCAGTGTAGGTAGCTACTAGGGAGTATTTTAATGGTCAGAAAATGTAGAGGTTACAAGTTTGAATCCTAGTTCTGTCTCCAAGTTATCTTGGAATATTTGGTTCCTTGAAAAACCAACACAGTAGGAGCTTGAATATTCTCATCTGGAATGTCACTTTGGATAGCTTTATATGAAGAACATAATTCATAGAACTTAGTACAACTACTCATCTAACAGATGAGGAAACTGATGGGGATAAGTGGTGTGGTCAAAGCCACAGTCAAAGGAAATAACAAGGGAGAACTCTGGTCTCCAGACTCCTGCATAGGAAAACAAGCCTTCTACTACTCCATGCAGCACTGTGTAGCAATATAAAAAATCTACACAAGTAAATATTCTTGTTCATTTCAATGCCATGTAATTTACTTGTCATATGCTACAGATAATAATAGAAATGAAATGTTTTAATTAACTTTCCCTCTAATTATACTTGCTAGCACTTGTTAAATGGAGAGCAAACTTATTTATTTAATTGTACAATTTACCAAGACTACATTGTTTAGTCTTATGGACTTCTTTCATGTACTCCTTCATTTTAAATTGGTAAATAACATTATATACTTTGATCATGTACAACATTTCTAAAATCAAAATAATGTATATCAAAGGCTTGAGTTGAATGAGGAATATTTTTGTTGGCCATTTGTTATGGGACTATAACTTGAAGAAGCCAGTTGAGGACTACAATTTAAGATTAATGTGCACTTTTTAATAACATCTGCAAAATGTAATTAAGAAGCATATTTTTCACAGCCTGCTTTCACCACCCAAATTTTGATTCATTTATGATTAGCCAGCAAACAAAGCCAACTAGCAACACCATTTGCCTTAATCTGGCATGCAGCTCATTAATAACCATGACTTTAGGGTTCCATAAATGATTTGAAGCTAGCTACAGAAAAGAGGGAAATTCATCACAGTCTACCACTAACTGTCAGTTTTACATTTCTGTCTGCAAATCCTTGGTCAACCAATCCTTTGGTCAATCCTTTGGTCTTACCCAGTGGCCTTTGAGGCCAAGGCAGAGCTGCGGGAGAGTCTGGCATTCACTTCAATGATGCAATATTCCATTGAGGTAGGATGAAGGGCAAACTGAATGTTGCATTCACCCACAATGCCCAAGTGGCGGACAACATTGATTGAAGTGCGTCTCAACAACTGAAACTCTGCGTTGGAGAGTGTCTGGGCAGGGGCCACAACAACTGAATCACCTATAAATCCAAGCAGCTCTCATTATTTGGTAGCATATTTAATAAATAACTCCAGTGACTTAACAATCCATTTAAATAATATAAGATACTAAATAGTCTGAGGGCTTGTTGAGAAGAAAAGAATTATCTGAAGGAGATAAATAGATGATAAACATAGATAGATAGGTAGGTAGATACATAGATAGATAGGTAGGTAGATACATAGATAGATAGATAGATAGATAGATAGATAGATAGATAGATAGATAATCTACATATCTGTATAGAGATATAGGAAAAAGACAAATGGTATTCTACCTGATTCTTGTTTTGCCCATATTATTCTCACCCATTACTTCTACCCCTCTGTCTTTGGTCACACTCATCTAGCCATTAAAATTTTGATCATCTACTTACTGGATTAACATTAGCTCCTTAACTTCCTATATCCTCATTCTTTTCAAATTATCTCTCCCAAACTCTTCCTTCCATGGGATACTATCTCATTTTTACTCAGACTGCTTCATTCATCTATTTTATGCATTTTATCCCTTCCCATGCTCACTGCTTTCCAATTGTATCATCATTATCAAACCTTTATTCTCTGTCCTTTCTGCCAAAAGTATGCTCAGCTATCCTCTGCTAAAGAAGCCCATCTCCAACACTTGTCAACACACATCCTCATTCTCAGCATAATTAAACTTCTTGAGAGTTTTTCAATTCTTCTTATCACTCACTACCATATAATTCCTTGCCGTATTCTCCCAGAACTAATGTTACATTGAAATTTCCTTCTTGAATATCTACAAATCAAAATTAAATCTTCGTTCTTGACCTTGTATAGCATTTGATATGGCTAAAACAAAACTCTGCTATAAAATGTGTTCTTACATTGGCTTACTTGACACTATTCTACTCTGGTTTTCTCCCTAACTATTTTTCTCTTCTTTGTTTTCAACAATCCTCTTTTTCCTGAACTATAAATCTAAATGCTTCCCATAGTTCAAAGTTTGACCCTCTTCTCTTCCCTTTCTATACCTAAGCCCTTAAATACTTGAAGTATGCCTCCAGATTCAATGATTTTCTTATACCAAATGACGTCCAATGAATGACCTTGCATCAACTTTTATATTTATATCCTCTTTTCTTGAATTCCATTTCTACATTCTTGTCTCTCTCTCTACTTGTGAGTTCCACTCACATCTCAAATTTAGCATTCCTAAAATGTAAGTCATATCTTTGTCCTCTCATCAAACCAGTTTACCTTGCTGAGAAATCTATTTTTATTACTTCAGACCATTTTCTCAATCACTTGGTGACTAACACATCAGTCTATTTTCAGCCTTCTCAACCTGTCTCTCTACCTCTCAGTACTGCCTCTTTTCCCAATTGGAATCATGGTAATAGTATCTGCCTTGCTGCATAGGGATTTATGACTATCAAATTAAATGTGAGAATATTTCTAGTAGCATAAAATGTTATGTACATATGTTAAATGTTATCATTAGTCTGTCAGAGAGAAATAGCAAAGAACTTCATAAAAGCTTCTGTGGCCATCAAAGTCACGAGTTGAAGGAATTACTGTAATACTTAAAGATTGTTTGCCTACCTGTATGAACACCCATGGCATCAACATTTTCCATGTTGCAGACAGTAACACAATTGTCATCAGCATCTCGGACAACTTCATATTCTATTTCTTTCCAACCTGTCACTGACCTCTCCACCAGAATCTGGTTGGTCATAGCAAAGGCCTAGAAATTGGTGACAAAAAGATACCAAAGAGTAAGAAAGGCACTGGCTTAAATGAGGATATTTAGTAAAATGCCCTGGCCTAAGTCCTGTTTTGTACTAAAGCCTCAAACCCAGTCTCCATCCTTCTCTGTCCTGCAGAAGGCCCAGAATGTCAGAAAATCAGTGAGACCAGGAATAGCATCCTGCACTGAATATGCTTGATTTGCATTATTGAGGCTTGCCATTCAAAATGCTGATATGACATTAAATCAAACTAATTTAGGAAAAAGTGAAAATAATTGAGCAATCAGGCAGAGGGAAATGAAATTATTTCAGCAGCTAGGCTTCTGTGAAACCAGAAAATGTGATAAGTAAAATAAATGTGGAAAAATAGTCTAAAGATGCTGGCTTTCTCTAAAATAGCTGAGGGTGCTTTGTACAGTGACACACACAATAAAAGTTAGCTGATGCTGATGAGGAGGAGAAAGGAGATGATCGTGGTTGTAAACAGTTAGCCAAGATGGCACACGGAGCTTGGGAGTTAGCAGCTATTATTATGGTTAATCACTGCCTAAGTGTTTAAATACTCAGAGTCGTATATCATGCATGCCTGATTAGACAGATATGAATTAGTATAATTATCATTTCATATATACTGAGAACCTACAGTTGGTAGAATACTGAACCTAAAATATGAAAGCGACAATCTCAGACCTTAGGACATACAGAGATTGAAAATTCAAGACAGAAATGTCCCTTTGTCTCATAATATATTTGATTTGGGTTAGCAGAGAAAGGGAAGGTACTTTGAACTTTTTCAAATTATTACTGGGCTATATAATCAAATAATAACTAAATTTAAAATCATTCATAATGTATCTCAACATGATTTTTTTTTAACCTGTCATCACTACAGGATCCAGCACATGCAACTGAAATATGACACATTTGTCCCCACAACAACCTAGAATGAGGTTCTCAAAGAAGTTAGAGCACTTTGGAACCACTGCTAACAATTTAAGGAAGATTCATTGTCATTTGAGTTGCCTGAAAAAAGAAAAGAAAGAAATCTAGGAAACAAAGGTTGTGAATTCAGAAAAGTATTTTACTTTCTAATGAAGTAAAATGGGCATTTGGATACAAGGAAATTGAGATCTGTTTTCTAGGCTTGTTTTTTCCTTCTTTGAAATCTCAGATTTGATTTTAAAAGTTAACTTAAGGGCCTAAATGAGTTAGTGCAGCTTCTAGTGGTACTAATTATAACTGAAAGAATAAGGGGGTAGCTTAGGATGTAATGACATCACTAATTTATCTCAAGGGAAAATCTACATTTGCAAAAATAACCATTCAGCAACTATGGATTATTTTAGCAGAATATAAATAAGTGAAAACTATCCCATTTCAAAATTTCCTGCATTATAAACTTTTTATATAAAAACTTGGAAATTCAGAACAGTTCATCATACAGTAAAAAAATATATTTTAATAGACAATAAGTATACATGGTCACTACTAGTAGCAATAAGACTGCAAATATTAAGAACACTTGGAACATTAAAAAGCCTTAGTAAATAAATTTTTACATCTCCATAAACTTTTTTTGCTTTAAATACTTGATTCAAGAGTCCATAATGGAAGCAAGAAACATTTATTTATATTATATGTTTTTCCCTTTTGGGTTTTTTTTTTTTTTTTGTAATTTTGCCAACTTTAGACAAGCTAAATCCACATTGTTGACCTATAAGCCTATGTTAGAGTTGTTTAAATATGTTTTATTCTATTTATCTGTTCTCAAAATCCAATGCCAACAATTTAAGGCCCTTACTTCATTTCAGTCCAAAAGTAAGTAATGAAAAATTTATAAGCTCGAACTATTTACTAAAAGTATCCCCAAAACTATCCATCAGAATCATTCTGTTAGGTTCACTTCTACACTGTCATGTAAGTTACACGGGCTTCTTGGTTGTACATGTATTCACTCATTCAAGGTAATTATTAAGACCCCAGTAATGCTAACACTGTTCTATGAAAATAAAATATGGAGAACAGTCTCTGGGGCAATGTTTTCTGGGCTAATCTTTATTTTTGGAGCATATCTTAATTTTCTCAAGATATTTTCGTTAATATTCAAAAAGTATTGAGTAGCACATCAAAGTGATTTTGATAGAAAATAAATTATAAACACTCAAATCTTACTTTAGTTTTTATGGATGAACAGTAGTTATCAGAGTTCACTCATTTATTAAATTGAGAGGTTTATACTGCATTTAGTTTCAGCATCTGAAGTTTTGGTAGAAATGTTATACATATCACATTGTTTAAAAAAAATAATGGGAAAAAGAGGCATTGTAATCTCTTTTTACCTTAACCACTAAAATATGTTTATTTTGGAATATATTGTAAAGCAGAGGAAAACAGAGTTGGATTAAATTTATATCACTAAACTCAAGAGACTGCATAATAAAAATGGAGCCTTGAGTAGAGTGCGCATAGGCTTACTTAAACTCATGTGGGTTGTCACTGTGTGCTGTAATAAATAGTTGCACCTCATTTCCTTCTCAAAAATGTGGACTTTTTGACAACACTTTTAGAGAACATAACAGTGATTTAACAGATAGAGAAAGGGTCATTTGTCCATTAAATAACTTCCTCTAATTGAAAGAATATTTCAAATCAAGTTTTTTAATTGGTAAGAATATTGTCTAAGAAAATACCTACCTTTGTGCCAAGGTCTATTAAGGTCTCCCTATTGGGACAGATGCCTGAGCCTAATCCACCCAGAGCATAAGCTGAACGGATCATCACAGGGTAGCCAATGCTGTCTGCCGCCTTCAGGGCATCCTCAATCTGCAAATAAGAACAAAGATACCAAATCTGAAAAACTGACCACATTAGCAGAACACACACACACACACACACACACACACACACATGACACAGCCAAGAGAGTCTGACAATTCAGGTAAATCAATTTAATTTAGGGAGAACGAGTATGGAAATGTTCTATTATTCCATCATCTCCTTCTGAAAAGCAAGTGTTGCTATACAAAAGTAAAACTACAGAATTCTGGGAGAGGTTTTTTTCTAGTAATTTTTTTATGTTGGTCTCCAAAACTAAAACCATCGCCAAAGTACAGAAATGATATTCATTTGAGAATGAGAGACATATGGTATTACAGAATTTTTAAATTTTACTACTAAAGTAAAGTTAAAGTAAAGTTAGCTTTACTACTAAAGCTAACTTGGTATTACCACAATAAGCTATTAGGAGTAGTGTAGAAAGAGATTTTTCATTTTTCAAGTTCAGTCTTAGAATAGTCCCACAAGCTTGGGATTTTTTAAAATTTAAAGAATACAACATATGGTGGCTATATTTTTCTGTCATGGAATATTATTACACTACCAATGGGAATGTAATTACACCTTTCCCATATGCCTGCTTCTCATCCTGGGGAAGGAAGGACATAATTATATCTGGCAAGGAAAAAATAAATGTATGGCAAGAGACTCCCAAAGTGTTCAGAAGAGCTATCGTGGGATCATTCTTGATTGACAGCTTTGTGGCATGGTGTATACTCGGTAGCATTCTTTTCTGAAACATTACATATCCAATTCTAGTTGTCCCAGCAGTACCTGCCTTATCCCTGAGGATTTGCCTATTTCTACAATGGGAAGTTGCATTTAAAACTGCCTCTAGCACCTCTACTTCACTAAATATATTTCTGAAATAAAAAATAAAATCAGGTGCAAAAACTGATGTTGACGTTTTCCTGGTGACTGGTACTCATCTCTAAACCAGCACAGTGTATCATTGAAAATGAGTAATAGGAAAGGAAAAACATCTCTTCTCTTTAAGTATCTGTACCACAAATTTCCCAGTCATAGGCCTTATTCACTGGATTCTTTTGATTCTAAAATGTTATTCGACTCCAAAAGAAATACTGCTTTAAATCCAATCCTATTTGCCAGGCATTTGCACATACATCGTGTGTTACTGATCCCAGGAAGAAGTAAAAAATCATGTTGGTATTACAAGTTGGTATGGTTTCTAGTTTCACTTCAGAAGATCTAAGATTCAACTACTGATAATCCACTTCATCTCTGGGTTTATATTTTCATTTTCATAAAATGAAATATTAATATCTATCCTTAAAATTCCAGCATTGAATGATGAATCAGTACACAATATTTGTCAGAAATTAACATATTTCTGGAAGAAAATGTATGAAAGTATAATAATTTTAATTATTATTATTAGGCATAACAAATCATTCTCCCAACAACCAAAGATAAAGCGTATCCTTAAGTCCCAAGAGCAAGATTCCTTACTGATTCAACTGCAAAACTCGGAGCAATCTTTTCATTGATCTCATTGAGTTTGTCTGAGAATAGCTGCCTGTCCTCGGTGGCCATAATGGACTCAACAGAAGTTCCCAGGACTTTCACCCCATATTCCTTGAGCACACCTCTCTTGAATAATTCCACTCCTACAGAAGAACCAAATATGATCAGTTTTACAATCTAAAATGTTATGTGTTCTTTAACAGAAGCCTAAACACAATGTTTGTTTCCAAAAATCTTAAAATTAAATCCAAGAACTCATCATACTCCATAATAGAATTGCACTTAGGAAAAATGTTTGAAATAAAAATTCTGAACATAAGATATATTACTGATGTTACTATTCTGTTACCACAATCTGCACATCAGCTTTATCTTTATTAATATAAATTAGCATTACACTGAACCTTAAGATTTCAGCATATTCCCTTTCCTCCCAAGGAATATTCTTATAGTGAGTTCCATTATTTAAATAATCTCAAAGACATGAATACCTACTGGGTTTTTAAAAATAATTAACTTTTTTATATTCTACTATCTTGTCACCTAATTTTTGATAATACTTTTATGCTTAGCATACAAATTATACTCCCAATTGCATACTCCAACTAACTAAAAAGCATTTCATTCATGATCTAGCTCCAAAGATTTAAAGTATTGTCAAGGGGATAGATACCTTAAAAAAAAACAGGTAGTGAATGGTCCATATTATCAAAAATATACATGAAAGTCAAATGCTACAGGGTTGATACACCAATGTTAATTCTCATTTTTTATTCATAATAGTCTCAGAGTTTCAGTAGTAACGGAAAGAAAGCAATGTCTTATGATGGAGGAGGAAAAACCAAGAAGCCTATTAGGCCACTCTGGAACATTAAAGTGAGAGGTTTCTTTTTCTCTCAGCTGTTTCATGAAATAAACTAGTACCATTTAGCAAAAGAATAGTAGGTGGCTGTTTGCTAATTGCTTCCTTATATGTTATAGAAAATGCTTTATGAACACAGAGAACAAAATTGTTAGATGAGTTCAAACAAAATATGTTACACATTGACATGTGGATCAAAACTCTGCAACCAAACTTAGAACTCACCACAGTTCAGTGCTGTCTGGCCACCCATGCCTAGAATTAACCCATCAGGCCGTTCTGCCTTGATGACCTCTGTGACAAACTGAGGGGTAATGGGAAGAAAGTAGACAGTGTCTGCTTGCTTCAAGCCCACCTCATTGGTCTGGACTGATGCAATGTTTGGGTTCATCAGGACAGTTTTGACATTTTCTTCCTGAAAGAAACAAAATTATCATCTGCCTATAGGGTCAAAGAAGGAAATATATGCACTCAAATGAAGGGTGATTGAGTAACAAAGCTTTTAGATTATTCTATGGACTAGATGTAGAAATTGAGAAAACAAGTTAATGGAAATCAAAAGACAAGCCTTTGGTCAAGGGAAAGAAGAAGACACTGCTTGAAGATAAAACAATCCAAAAAAAAAAAAAAAGAAGAAAGAAAACCTCATGAGCAACATCATAAATTCCTTGCCACTAGAGGCATCAGCAAAGCTGGAGGTCAGTTATTTAGAAATTTTCTAAATAGTCTTAAAGATGACTGAACTTTAGAGCTCAATTGATCTTAAAAGAATAAAATATTCCAAAAATTTTAAAATAAGCATATAGAAAATGGAACTAGAGGCAATGTGAAAAGTGCTTCTTCTTCTACTATTTGAGAACAAAATTGAGTGTACCTTTTAAAGTGTAGGATAAAGTGTTCCCTTTTTACTAGAAGCACTAAGAACCTTCTATTGGATCCCATTGTTTTCAAGATTTTCATGCCTGCTGTAGTGCTTTAAAAGCTTTATACAACTCTTCATATTATAAAAATGACCATATGGAAAAAAAACAAAAATAAAAAGTTATGTGTATATCTCTGCATGCATATATGTGTGCATGTTCTTACATGTACATAAATGATAGTATGCATAGTCCTATCTTATCTTTTACGTCTGGAGAGACCTTCAAAATAATTTTTCACTTGAACCACTAAGAATAATAGTTCCATAAACCAGGATGAGGTTGACACTTAGCAAAATATTATGAAATATGGCCAGATGTTCTTATTATTTCACAAATTAGCATGTCAATTTTAAATGCTTCTAAAAATTCAACAAAATATTCAGATGAAGTACACAAATCATCCTCCGTGAAAGCCCTGCATATCCTTGGAAGAAGATCTAAATCAAAATTGGTTATATTTTATGCTACTTTAAATTCAAATAGTCTCTTAATGCATGTAATGTAATTTTTTATTAATTCATTTGATTTTTATACCAAGACTATAAAAGAGATTTCTGCATTTCAGATGAAGAAATTGAAATTCAGGAAGGTTAAATGCCATGCCAAAGGTCACACAGCTGATAAGTGGCAATATTAGAATGCTAATCCAAGCATTCTGACTCAAGTCTGATGTTTTGTCCTCCATATTAGTCAGAGCTCAAGATTTTATGATATTTGAAATAAGTGTATTCTGATTAACAAAATGTTGGAAAGATACATCTAGATAAGCAAATATATTTTTAATATGAGTTCAAATTTAAATAATTGAATCTAAACTAAAAACACATCGAGTATAAAAAATTTTTCATGACGTAAAAAACATACTAACAAATTGAAATATACAGAACTATTTCTCTGAATGTGCTGTATAATGAATATGACTGTTTTTGCAAATTATGTAGAAAATAGCCCATGCATAGATCAGTACCCATTCATTTTAAAACACAAACCATTTTGATTAATTTTATATCACTTTATTCTATTTTTAATTCTTGTTATAGTATATGCACCATATAATTGCTTTTAACTTTTTTAATTTATAAATTCATCTCTATTAATCACAGCACAATATCTAATTATTATTATTCGATTATATAAAGCACATAAAAATGCAAACTGTGAAATGCTAAATCTATAGAAAAATTCCCAAATAACATAAAAATTCAAAGATATTCTAAATCCAGAACACACTTAGATTATGTTCTAAACCACTGAGAGTCCTCTATCTAATAAGAAATTGGATCATCATACAACGAAGTATTTTTAAAATACATGAAGAAAATGTGCACTCACACTGATACATGCCTGGAGAAGAGTATTTTTTAAAGGAAAGGGGAAGAAGAATAAGTCACTGGGGCTACATTCCACTTCTTTTCAGTATACATCTATCGGGGGAGTATCTTTGGCTACAAAATACTTTAAAAGGAAAAACAGAACACCTTCTGCCATCTGTTTTCCTATGCTTACTGTCCTACTCTCCTGCTGGCATCTCTGTGCTGCTCTCTACCAACCAGGTCTCTGGCAATGCCTCTACACTGAGAGCTTGAGGCAAGGTCACCAGCAAAGCACTCACATTGCATCTGGATAGGCTGATTATCACCAAGATGCAGACCATATGGGGAAATAAAGACACCAAAGAAAGGCCAAGTTAACTTTTCAGTGGAAATACCTTAAGTATATAGTAGAATTTCTGTAACGATTGATAACAGTTGAGCAGATCTCAAAAGAGAGTCTATCTTTCCCCAGTTTGAGTATCAGATCCTCTTTTCTTCCTGAAAATCCAGCCATACTGTCCCATTTTCTAATTCACTGATAAGGGAATTGGACCCCCTAGTGACTGATAATGATATCTAACCCTTGAACAAATCCACCATTACCCTGCTCTTCCAGCTAGAGTTTCCCCCTTTCCACCACAGAGATGCCTGAAGCATCTTGCAGAGTATTTGAAGTACCATAAAGCACTAAGGATATCAAATTCTCTTCTTATGGGAATTCCAAGATGGCGGCTAGAGGTAGGAAGCAGAAAGCGACCCTCCTATAGTGAAATCTTGGAGAGACGCTGGAGACACACTTTGCAGGCATAATCACCGAGAAAAGGCATAACTTTGACTCCTCCACATCTCCAGCCGGTGCAGAGAATCTCCACTTGGGGCCCCCGGGTCCGCCAGTGGCCGGCGCCCATATGGCTTGGGAAGACACGGACCAGGTGAGCTTCGCGGTACCGCGGTTCCCCACAGACAAGCCTGGGCCAGAGCAGCATAGCCCCCTGGACAGACTGACCTCCACCCGGGAAAAAAAGAGAAACTGAGTACTAAGCAATAAGAACAGTTAAGACACGCTGGAAAGAGGGTGGGGCGCCCTGAGCACTGAAGATTGGGGAAAGGGAATCCTTCCCGGGACTGTAAATAAACGAGCCGGGCGGGCCGGAGAGGCTCTGGCGGGAGCCGGGCGCGCCCAGCAACCAGGAGCGGGGACGCTTGTGAGAGGAGGGAAGACCCACTTCCCACGTGAACTGTAAATAAACACGCAGGCCTGACAACGCGGGGCAGTGTCACCTTTCCCAGTGCTTGGAAAGGGGAAAGCCTGTAGCAGAGGCCCCCCTCCCCCGCACAGGAGAACTCTGAGCAAACAAAGCCTGTGGGACCAGGTGAGTGCTAAGCTCACCCCAGAGATCTGCATAAATAACGCCGCCAGCTACAGGCTGAGAGCAGCAGGCAGGCAAGCCACAGTTGCAGATACCACTCTCAGAACTGCCTCCAGACGCTTTTTTTTCTTTTTCTCCCTACCTTTGATGAGAGAACAACCGAATTACACCTGCAAGCCGAAAAACTTACTGAAACTGTATTGCATTTGAACTGGGGACACTTGGTGGGGCTTTTTTTTTTTTTTTCTTCTGTGTGTGTGTGAGTGTAGTTTTGTTCTACTTTATGCATCCCCTTTGATGAGACAACTACAGAACAACATCTGAGGCACCAACTCCAGGACTGGAGATTGAGACGGACATCCAAATTATTAAGACTGAAATTGCATTGCATATAAACTTGGAAGTTTTTTGGTTTTTTTTTTTTTAATTTTCTATTTTCCATTTTATTTTAATTCATTTTTATATATAGATATTACTTTTATATACTTATTTTTTATTTTTTTATCTTTGATTTTCAATCCTCTCTCTGTCTCTCTATGTCTGTTCAGCTTACTGTCGATTAGTACACTAACACTCCCTGTTTATACCTTTGAAACTCTCTTGTCTGATACCTTGTTCTGCTTTCTCCCTCTTGTCTGTATATTTGTTTTCCCCTTTTCTTTAACTTCTTGCTTTCCATCTCAGCTCACTCTTCCATTCTCAATATTACCATTGTTATTATTACAAGCTAGAAAATACTTAATTACACACAGTACAGGGACAGTAACAACACCAAGGACAATGACGGAAGACAGAAAAAACAAGGAAACCAGTTTCCCCACAGCAAAAAATTAGTACAGGAACCAGAGGGGAATGAAGAGAACAGAAACTCAGATCCAGACTCCAACAAAATGAAGATAAACTATGCCAAAGGACCCAATGAAGCCCACAAGAATAATTTAAAAGAAGACATACTACAAGTACTCAATGAGAATTTTATAGAGATGATACTGGATAGGGTCAACCAAAATGTACAGGAGACACTCAAGAAATTCCAAGACAATAAAAATAGAGAATTTGAAAAAGCAAAAGAAGAAATAAAGGAAACCATAGAAGCACTGTATAAACACCAAAGTGAAAGAGAGAACACAATGAATAAATGGATAAATGAACTCAGGACAAAAATAGACAACAATAAAGAAGAAAACAGCCAGGATATGGAAAACCTCAGAAAAAAGAACGAAACAGAACTGCAAAACAAAACGGAAGGCCAATCCAGCAGAATAGAACAAACAGAAGACAGAATCTCAGAACTTGAAGATGAAATGGTAATTAAAGGAAAAACTGAAGAACTATTAATTAAACAACTCAAGACCTGTGAAAAGAAAATGCAAGAACTCACTGACTCCATCAAAAGACCAAACTTGAGAATCATGGGCATCGAAGAAGGAGAAGAGGTGCAAGCGAAGGGAATGCGTAATATATTCAACAAAATAATAACGGAAAATTTCCCAAATCTAGAGAAAGATATTCCCATACAATGCAAGAGGCCTCCAGGACACCAAACAGACCAGATCAAAATAGAACTACTCCACGACATATCATCATTAAAACAACAAGTTCAGAAACTAAGGAAAGAATATTGAAGGCTGTAAGAGAGAAAAAACAAGTAACATACAAAGGTAAACCCATCAAAATCACAGCAGACTTCTCAACAGAAACATTAAAAGCAAGAAGAGCGTGGGGTGAGATCTTCCGGGCACTGAATGAAAATAACTTCAACCCCAGGATACTCTACCCAGCAAAGCTATCATTCAAAATAGATGGAGCAATAAAAGTCTTCCATGATAAGCAGAAACTAAAACAATATGTGACCACAAAGCCACCATTACAAAAGATTCTGCAAGGGATCCTGCACACAGAAAGTGACACCCAACTTAACCATGAAAAGGCAGGCAGCACCAAACCACAGGATAAGAAAAAGCAAGACAGTAGAGAGTAACATCAAGTTAGGTACACACAATCAAACCTTCAAACAACTAAGACAACTAAATGGCAGGAATCACCACATACCTATCAGTACTAACACTTAATGTTAATGGACTTAATTCACCCATCAAAAGACACCGTTTGACAAAATGGATTAAAAAGAAGATCCAACAATTTGTTGCTTACAGGAGACTCATCTCACCGACAGAAATAAGCATATGCTTAGGATGAAAGGCTGGAAGAAGATTTACCAAGCCAATGGCCCCCGAAAACAAGCAGGAGTAGCAATACTTATCTCTGACAAAGTAGACTTCAAACCTACATTGATCAAACGAGATAAAGAAGGACATTCCATACTAATAAAAGGGGAAATAGACCAAAAGGAAATAATAATCATCAATCTGTACGCACCCAATGTCAACGCACCCAATTTCATCAAACATACCCTGAAAGACCTAAAAGCATATATAAACGCCAACACAGTGGTTGTGGGAGACTTTAACACTCCATTATCATCAATAGATAGGTCATCCAAACAAAAACTCAATAAAGAAATCCAAGATCTAAAATATGCAATAGATCAAGTGGACCTAGTAGATGTCTACAGAACATTTCATCCAACCTCTACACAATATACATTCTTCTCAGCAGCCCATGGAACCTTCTCCAAAATAGATCATATCCTAGGGCACAAAGCAAGCCTCAGCAAATATAAGAAAATAGAAATAATACCATGCATACTATCTGACCACAATGCAGTAAAAGTAGAACTCAACAACAAAAGTAAAGACAAAAAACATGCAAACAGCTGGAAACTAAATAACTCATTACTTAATGAAGAATGGATCATCGATGCAATAAAAGAGGAAATTAAAAAGTTCCTGGAAGTCAATGAAAATGAAAACACAACCTACCGGAACCTATGGGACACAGCTAAGGCAGTCTTGAGAGGAAAGTTTATAGCCATGAGTGCATATATTAAAAAGATTGAAAGATCCCAAATCAATGACCTAATGATACATCTCAAACTCCTAGAAAAACAAGAACAAGCAAATCCCAAAACAAATAGAAGGAGAGAAATAATAAAAATAAGAGCTGAAATCAACGAAATAGAAACCAAAAAAACCATACAAAGAATTAATGAAACAAAAAGTTGGTTCTTTGAAAAAATAAACAAGATCGATAGACCCCTGGCAAACCTGACTAAAATGAGGAGAGAAAAAACCCAAATTAGTAGAATCAGGAATGCAAAAGGGGAGATAACAACAAACACCATGGAAGTCCAGGAAATCATCAGAGACTACTTTGAGAACCTATATTCAAATAAATTTGAAAATCTAAAAGAAATGGACAGATTTCTAGATACATATGATCATCCAAAACTGAACCAAGAGGAAATTAATCACCTGAATAGACCTATAACACAAAATGAAATTGAAGCAGCAATCAAGAGTCTCCCCAAAAAGAAAAGTCCAGGACCTGATGGATTCTCTGCTGAATTCTATCAGACCTTTAAAGAAGAACTGATACCAACCCTCCTTAAACTGTTCCATGAAATAGAAAGGGAAGGAAAACTGCCAAACACATTTTATGAAGCCAGTATTACACTTATCCCAAAACCAGGCAAAGACACCTCCAAAAAGGAGAACTATAGGCCAATCTCCTTAATGAACATTGATGCAAAAATCCTCAACAAAATAATGGCAAACCGAATTCAGCAACACATCAAAAAGATTATTCACCACGACCAGTAGGCTTCATCCCAGGGATGCAGGGGTGGTTCAACATACGAAAATCAATAAACGTAATAAACCACATTAACAGAAGCAAAGACAAAAACCACTTGATCATCTCAATAGATGCAGAAAAAGCCTTTGATAAGATCCAACATCATTTCATGATAAAAGCTCTAAGAAAACTAGGAATAGAAGGAAAGTTCCTCAACATTATAAAAGCTATATATGACAAACCTACAGCCAGCATTATACTTAACGGAGAAAAACTAAAACCATTCCCTCTAAAATCAGGAACCAGACAAGGATGCCCACTATCTCCACTCCTATTCAACATAGTACTGGAATTCCTAGCCAGAGCAATTAGGCAAGAAGAAGGAATAAAAGGAATACAAATAGGTAAAGAAACTGTCAAAATATCCCTATTTGCAGACGACATGATCCTATACCTTAAAGACCCAAAAAACTCTACTCAGAAGCTTCTAGACATCATCAATAGCTATAGCAAGGTAGCAGGATATAAAATCAACATAGAAAAATCATTAGCATTTCTATACACTAACAATGAGCAAACGAAAAAGAATGTATGAAAACAATTCCATTTACAATAGCCTCAAAAAAATCAAATACCTAGGTGTAAACCTAACAAAAGATGTGAAAGACCTCTACAAGGAAAACTATACACTTCTGAAGAAAGAGATTGAGGAAGACTATAGAAAGTGGAGAGATCTCCCATGCTCATGGATTGGTAGAATCAACATAGTAAAAATGTCGATACTCCCAAAAGTAATCTACATGTTTAATGCAATTCCCATCAAAATTCCAATGACATTCATTAAAGAGATTGAAAAATCTACTGTTAAATTTATATGGAAACACAAGAGGCCACGAATAGCCAAGGCAATACTCAGTCAAAAGAACAATGCAGGAGGTATCACAATACCTGACTTCAAACTATATTACAAAGCAATAACAATAAAAACAGCATGGTACTGGCACAAAAACAGACATGAAGACCAGTGGAACAGAATAGAGGACCAGATATGAAGCCACACAACTATAACAACTTATCTTTGACAAAGGAGCTAAAAATATACGATGGAGAAATAGCAGCCTCTTCAACAAAAACTGCTGGGAAAACTGGTTAGCAGTCTGCAAAAAACTGAAACTAGATCCATGTATATCACCCTATACCAAGATTAACTCAAAATGGATCAAGGATCTTAATATCAGACCCCAAACTCTTAAGTTGATACAGAAAGAGTAGGAAATACTCTGGAGTTAGTAGGTATAGGTAAGAACTTTCTCAATGAAACCCCAGCAGCACAGCAACTAAGAGATAGCATAGATAAATGGGACCTCATAAAACTAAAAAGCTTCTGTTCATCAAAAGAAATGGTCTCTAAACTGAAGAGAACACCCACAGAGTGGGAGAAAATATTTGCCAATATACATCAGACAAAGGACTGATAACCAGAATATACAGGGAACTTAAAAAACTAAATTCTCCCAAAACTAATGAACCAATAAAGAAATGGGCAAGTGAACTAAACAGAACTTTCTCAAAAGAAGAAATTCAAATGGCCAAAAACACATGAAAAAATGCTCACCATCTCTAGCAATAAAGGAAATGCAAATTAAAACCACACTAAGATTCCACCTCACCCCTGTTAGAATAGCCATCATCAGCAACACCACCAACAACAGGTGTTGGCGAGGATGCGGGGAAAAAGGAACCCTCTTACACTGTTGGTGGGAATGTAGACTAGTACAACCACTCTGGAAAAAAATTTGGAGGCTACTTAAAAAGCTGGACATCGATCTACCATTTGATCCAGCAATACCACTCTTGGGGATATACCCAAAAGACTGTTACTCCAGAGGCACCTGCACACCCATGTTTATTGCGGCACTATTCACAATAGCCAAGTTATGGAAACAGCCAAGATGCCCCACACTGACGAATGGATTAAGAAAATGTGGTATCTATACACAATGGAATTTTATGCAGCCATGAAGAAGAACGAAATGTTATCATTCGCTGGTAAATGGATGGAATTGGAGAACATCATTCTGAGTGAGGTTAGCCTGGCCCAAAAGACCAAAAATCGTATGTTCTCCCTCATATGTGGACATTAGATCAAGGGCAAACACAACAAGGGGATTGGACTATGAGCACATGATAAAAGCGAGAGCACACAAGGGAGGGGTGAGGATAGGTAAGACACCTAAAAAACTAGCTAGCATTTGTTGCCCTTAATGCAGAGAAACTAAAGCAGATACCTTAAAGCAACTGAGGCCAATAGGAAAAGGGGACCAGGAACTAGAGAAAAGGTTAGATCAAAAAGAATTAACCTAGAAGGTAACACCCACGCACAGGAAATCAATGTGAGTCAATGCCCTGTATAGCTATCCTTATCTCAACCAGCAAAACCCCTTGTTCCTTCCTATTATTGCTTATACTCTCTCTACAACAAAATTAGAATAAGGGCAAAATAGTTTCTGCTGGGTATTGAGGGGGGGCGAGGGAGGGGGTGGAGTGGGTGGTAAGGGAGGGGGTGGGGGCAGGGGGGAGAAATGAACCAAGCCTTGTATGCACATATGAATAATAAAAGGAAAAAAAATTCTCTTCTTTACATGAATGAGAACATGTCTTAGGAGGAACTAACAGCATCTATAGACATAGCTTTATGTTTTCAATATAACTAGGCAATAGCAAATAATTTTAGAGACCATCTAGCTGCTTCAATTGACAGATGGGCACATTTGAGAAAGTTAAAAATCGTGTTTGTGATAAAACTTCCTTTCACACAAATGTGCAAGGAAAACAATTATAGTGACTTTCAAAAGATGCAATGTTGCAAATCTAAATTATAAAATACAATTAGACTCATTAAAGAGAGCGTATTATTCTAACAAAGCCCATCTTCTCTCACCTTCATAGCTTTCACAGCTTGAGATCCTGAGTAATCAAATTCACCTGCCTGACCAATGGACAGACCTCCAGACCCTAGGATAAGGACTTTGGAAACCTATAAACAATAAGAAAAAAAAACATTACTTTTATTACTACATAAGGCATCTGCAAGAGTGGAGAAAACAAACTATATATCTGAGTTTATGTGGTGATTTTCAGTACAATGATTGGAAAAATATGTAATATATGGGGAAATGATTATTTAAGTATCTCTTTGATGTACTTCCCAAAGCTGATGAACACTTTTTCACTTAATTAAAAAAAAAGTTGAAAGAGGTTTACATTTTACTTAAATATATGTAAGTATATAAAAATATCCAAACAAATATATTTATGTATGCTGGCACATATCAACATACATATTCATACATTTTTGAAAATGCACATACATTCCTCTAAATTTTATATAATAATGGTGTGAGTGTGCATGTACTTTAAGTATAAAGGAAATGTGTAGAAGCCTTATCATACATATATTCAAATAAATAAGAATTCAAGTCTCATGTCATATTAATCTTTATCTTTTTGCTTTTTAGAGGTAAAATAACTCATTTCATGATGTTAAATAATAATTCTCTAATTGAAACTCTTTCAAGTTATAGGATTCTTTTTGTTTCAATTGATAGACTTTATAGAATTTTTTTATTCTATCACTTATAATTATTCTATAGCTTGAACACTATCTCAGGCTTAAATAAGGCTATGGGTTTTGGGATAATGAAAAATATGCTAAATTATAAACTGAAATTAACAGTATTCTTTATCAAATTACATTATTACAAATATTCTACAAGTAAAATTAAAATGGTATGATTTTAAATGAAAATTCCAATGAATATAAACAAGAACAAACTAAATGACTAGTTGTGAAATGAATACAAGACTACCATTCATCTTTCATAGTTTCATAGACATTAGTGTGATTTACATAATTCAATTAAAACAAACACATGGTAGAGAAAATCCAAAATGCACATACCAAAAACAATCCCGTATTTACTGACCTCAACTCGAGAGGCAACCAGTGCTGGCTTTGGCAGAACTGATGTAATGGTGGTTCCTTTTCCTTTCTTTATCAGTGAGAAAAATGAATCAAATAGGTACTAGAAAAAACATAAAACCAACTAGTTAGAAGTTTTAAAACTCATGAGGTTGCCAGATCAAATACAGAAGGTTCAGCTGAATTTGAACCTCAAACAAACAACAAAGAACTTTTAGTATGCATTCCGATGTAGTATTTGGGGTTTTCTTATTGGCTTCAGTTTTGTTTTTTTATTTTCTGGCCTGTAACTAAATGTCTACTACTATTAAAATTTGGTCAAAAAACACTTCTAAATGCTCCTTCAAGTCCTATTTTAAAAAAAGAAGTTTCTAATAGAAATAAACATGTCAGGTGATACCTTCTAAGAATACCAAGTTTTCAGCCCCTTAATTATGCATCATTTCTCATTCTAAATCAAATTCTAATTAGGCAAAAATATTGATGCTATACCACTTATGTATCCTTAAATTAAAAATACTGGTTTTTTTTTTTTCATTTTTCTTCCAGCTCAAAAAATAACCTCTAAATGTTATTATTAAACTTTACCAATGAGTTTACTTCTATTGTTTCAGTACACATGACAAATTTCAACAAAGGTATTCATTTTGCAATTATTTAGGACAGAAAAGTATTAACTCACAGTGAATTTGATTATATATCACAATTGCAATGTTCCTAAATAGAAGTGCTAATAGAGGCTAATAATTAAATTTAAATTAAAAAATGCTTAGCATGTATTAGATGATATATGTAACTAAATTCTATTTATCATCAATAGTTAACATCACACTGGTTTTGGCTATTAAGAACCAATATTTCCCAGTAATATTAAGACAAGGACAAAGTACAAATATCTAAAAAGGCAATTCAGAGATGCAAGAGCTGGTTTACAGAGGATAAATTCTTGTCCTCCTCATTTTACCTGGATGTTTTTTCCAAGAATAAATATCTGCTGACAAAGAATTGTCAGTGCTACTACTGGAAAACCCTGGGTAGGAAAGAGGAGAAGTCACACCAGACTTCCCATATTTTCCAAGATGGCATTGTGAGCTTTTTTTGGAAAGATGTGTTTAAAAATATGGAAACAAGAGCTCATATGCAAAAGTAAAAAATATTTAGATTAGAAACAAACTCCTCTGAGCATTCCTTATGGTTCTTTTCTTAAGCTATCTGAATCACATAAATGTCCATATGGCCCTCGCCCCCCTCACCCATGCCCCTTTTCTTTCTCCTGCTGCTGTTTATTCTCCCTTAGTGGCTACACAACTAGTTACCATGGGGATTTTTTGAAGTCACAGATGGGGATTAAAATTTCATTTTAGTTATGAGATGGAAAGAGCAAGAGGGAATTCATTTGCATAGTACAACAATTGTAAATTTCAGGACTAAATATATTAGAATGATAATGGGTTTAAATAAAAATAGCATCATAGCATTGCTTCAGGTTTCTTAAGGGCTTTCCCACTTTAAATTTAAGAAGATGAAATTTTACTCCATGATATTCATGGGAGAATTTTAATGCAAAATGTGTGCTACCAAAGCACTCTTCTTGAGAATATTCTTCACAAAGATTATCTGAGGTAATTATTTCAGTTTTCACATAAATAAATCTCTGATTTCTTTAAGTATATGACAGGCCTCATCTTTCTGACATACCTCAGTGTCTGTTGGCCCTGGACTGACCTCTGGATGGAACTGTACAGCGAAGAAGGGTTTGCTCTCATGCATAATCCCCTAAAGGAATAAGAAACAAAAAGAAATTCTATAACAACAAATGTCAAGCGTGGTGATGTATTAGTCAGTAGACAATAAAGTTCAAGTACAAAATCTGAGTTAAGTGTTTAATAGCATTCTTAAACCTATTAGTACTTCAAGTATGGGACCAGAAATCTTAAAGAGTCACATATCCAACCATGGGTCAATGAAGAGTCAACTGAATGGTCCCATAATTTCAAAAGCCATACCAATTTAACCATAGCCCTTGGGGACCCTCTGGCTCTATTCAGAGTAAACCCAAATTCACCTCCAACTCTTCAATTACTTTCCAAGGGCCATCTTAAGGGCTTTTCCGGTGCTAAGTGAGTCCCTGGGACATATCTGGACTGGGCCAAACAGATTTAGACCAACTGCCCACTAACAATGAATGTATAAGACCAGTGCTGATTTAAGACACAAATAGTGGATATTAATGGGTCAGCTAATGAGAAAATAAGAAACTGCTTTTTAAAAAGTGGAGGGCTGTGAAACATGACATGTAAGAGCTCTTGTTCTCGCTCTCTCTCTCTCTCTCTCTCTCTCTCACACACACACACAAATTCCATATAAAGAGGGAAAGGTGTCTGCATTCCAGAGTATTAAGTGCCCTGAATTTCTCATCACCAACTGAGCAAGTCTACTGAGACCACTTACCTCATTTGTTTGATCGTTGATGTTCACAAAAAGTGGTTTCCAGCCAGGAGGGAGGGCATTGTCCAAAGCATATCCATGATTCTGAGCAGTAATGAAAGCCTGTCTGTTGGTGACATTCAAAACAGGCTGATTCTGTCCTCTGGAGAAAAGAAAGAAAGAACAGGAAAAATGAAAAGTGAAGAGAATGTAAATGCTTAAATTGTAAAGTAAAATTCAAAAGTTTCAATTGCTTAGTGAAAATCACTTTGTGGGAATAGTCACACATTGTTAATTCCAATAATTTTAGCAGCAAAAATCAATTCAGGAAGCTTTGCTGAGTGTTAAATATCAGGTCTATTAAACTCCTATAATCGGTTTTAGAAAAGCACTCATAACAAAAAAGAGCTGTTCAGTAGTTTAACAGAAACAGGCAAATATAAGCAACTTATTTTCAGAGAACTATAGTAATATTAAAACCAGAGGAGAATTCTTGGAAATGAGGAATAGATGACTATTTAGATCTGAGTCATTTTGAGCTATCCTTTCTGTGGAGGGTGGGCTGTGGGAAAGAACCTGTCATTGAATAATGTCATCTGAGGTAAAGAAATGAAACCAAGAGGATCTTAAGATTCTCAGTTCTTAAGCCATACTAGCTTCTTAAAATGTTATCAGTGCTCTAAAACCAGAACAATTTCCTTTGGAATACCATTTGATTTAATATTATAACCTCGATTTATGGCAAGGGAAGGAAAACAAGTTTCAACTATAGCAAGGTTATCATTAGAGAAGGCTGCCTTTCAGAAATGCAATAAAAGTGCTATCAGGTAGGCAGACAACTGTGAACTATGCAGTAGGATGGTTGTCTGTTGATTCGGAGGACATGTAAATTCTCTAAGTCTCTCATGTTTGGTTACCAGCAGTGTTTCAGAGCTACTTCGGCTCTGAGTAACATAACTGCCTTACCGGTTGGCCATGGACATCTTGTAAGATGTGGCACCAGCAGCTAATCCTGTTATTAGATTTCCCGTGCTGATTCCAAACAATGGCTCTTCGCGATCACTCTCCAAAATCTAAATCAGAAAAGATTGTTATTCATCCAAACAATGCTCTCAGTGAAAGAATGAAAATGAAGTGCTCTTTTTTTCCCCTTAATTAGTAAGATAAAGGGAATCATGACTAAATTAAAAGTTAGAAAGGAAAAGACATGATGGGCAAATTTGTGGCATTAGGAGTCAATAACAAGTTCTTGCCTTTTACACTAAACTAAAATCTAATTTTAGTGTTTTGGAAACTTGAAGGTCTTATAGACTCTGATGTCATGGTGAGGAGCACGAATTAACATTTTGCAGTTATAAGGAAAGATACAGCTGGAGATTGGATTCCAGCCCTCTTAAATGGAGGACACAATGTCAAAGTTACACTGTACAAATATGCTACCAAAAATAATTGAGTAAATGAAATATAGTCCTTTGATAGTATACAGTAGGTGTTCCTCATCTCACACACTACCCCCAGGTTCACTGCACCTTTTTGACATTCTGAATCAGTGGTTGTGCAAGAGCTGGGTTTCCAGGTCCTCCAGCAATCAAAAGTCCATCATACTCCATCTGGGTAAAATCATGATTCCAGGGAACCAAATGTACTTCAGCTCCTCGCTGGAAAAGAAAAACACATTTTGATCTTGTAAAGATAGGAACACACTCTCCTATACTTCAAGAGCGATTTCAGTGCCTAAATTCTCCATGGCTGGACCATTGAAGTGCTGTGCAAATATCTTGCAAACAAACACATTTTCCACAAAATTCAAGTTATACATCTCTCACCTTTTTTACTTTGCCTTTTTTGTCTGACTAAATTTTAAACAACTTTATGACATTTGTATTCTGAGAAAAAAAATCAGAACTTTTTGTTATAAAGTACCTTTGAAGGTTTCCCTAGCATTTCCTGCAACAACAATTTGAAGACTTATTTGTAAGATCTTTCCAAGAAATATCAATGAGATAGAGAGGAATTGATACCATGAGACACCCCAATAAAGTACATATTATCGAGCAGTTACTACTCTGAGAGCCAATGTGCATTACCCCACCCATGGGGAAAGGAGCTATATACTGACTCTCTGGTCATTGGCTATGGGCTACTCCAGGGAAAATTCTATGCATTTCCTGACTGCTAGCAGGCTTCAACCAACAGAGAAATCCCTTAGACAAAGAAATATAAGATGCTTGCAATGACAAAAAGGGCAACATGAATTAAAGTGGTGACATGAGAGTGGAATATGGATAAGCCATCCACAATATTTGCTACGGAAAAATTCATGCAAGTTTTTTTAATGAAGTTGTTAAGAATTTGAAATTATGATTTTGATATTGCTGATATTCTCTAATAATGAGGGAGTAAGTTGAAGAATTCCCTTGTAGAGACACGGAGAGACAGAGCCAGAGAGAAATTGAGAGTATAGGGATAGAAGGAGAAATTCTAACAAAATAATACAGAAGAAAATATTGTAATGATGGTTAAATCCTCTTTAAGGCTTAATTTTAATTGGTTGTCTATGAATATACATAAGACATTGTGAAGTCTTACTGCAGGGCAAAATGCAAGCAAACATGTGGTATGTACAATTGCAGGCCAATGGATGAATTATTAGCCTGACATTTGGTCATCTCTAAACTTCAACAAAAGTGAATGTGTCATGTGTCAGAATGTCAATGAATAAGTGACAAGAATAGTCATCATTTTCTTCCATATTTTAGCGGTCCTTGGGTTTTTTTTTTTAAACATAGCTGTGTACATCTTTAATTTGAACAAGGATAAGTGTGTTGTTTTCTAGGTCAAAGAGAGAGAAGATCTTGACGTTCTGAGAGAATGCAGAAACTTTCTCTGAAACAGAGGAAACTTGCCAGACACTAACAATCAATATTGTAAACCTTCGCTCTTGAGACAGAATGAATTACTTACCTTCACTAGTAAGCGGATGACATTGTTTTTTATCCCACAGTCTACAGCCACCACTTTTGTGGGGTTTCCTTTGCCATACACCTTGACGTCCTGCCATTTCAAAAATCAGAAAGTGAGAGAGAAATTCCAGATATCAGCAGCAGAACGATATCATACACACGTCCAAAGGTGTTTGCACTTGGATTGGTAACAGATTGACTGTTAACACTAGGGAGTGGCTGACAGTCACCAATCAATTTGTGAGAAAAGCACAGAAAGTGTCACAGGCTATCTTTTTTGTAAGAAAAAAAGTACTTTGCTGTTTTATATAGACTGTTGATTACAGTAATAATATTGGCTGCATTTACAGTTAACAACTATCTTTCCCATGTTTTGCCTCATTAGCAATGGAATTTTCAAATAATATGTCTGAGTCAGCATGAGACAGATGTGATAATAGACACATCATGCTTTAAATACCATTTGATCCTCAACTTACAGTGAAGATCAGATGGCATAGAGCCATCTGTAGGCTGATGCAGTGAGGCCGAATGGATAAAATAGGTATGAGAGACATGCAAATTGCTAAACTAGTATACACCACTAATCCCTTTAGATTATTATATGATCATTTGCATTTAAATAGCAGATTTCATAAAAGGATCCCAGAGCATATCATAATCATTATCTATGTCTTAAGCACTGCTTAGAGGCAGATCCATTTTCACAGGCATTTACCCAAGAAGCAGTTTTCCAAAGTTATAAAAAGGAGAAAGAACGGAAACAAAGAGAGGGAAAGCCTGGAGGGCTTGCTGTCCACACTGGTTCTGGCTTCAAAAGTAAGCTAGCACATTTTGAATTTAGGATAGTTTGTCAAAGGTTTTAGATAAAAGATACAATCTGAATATTTGAAAAAGCACTTTAACAGAAATGTCTGCCTCTCCACAAAGTCTACCTACAATTTAGTTATGATCCTTAAATTGTACTTGAAGAAAAGATTTGAAGAGAATTTTTCACTTTTTTCCTCATGCTGACTATTCTGGACTAAAAATAATCTGGGAGAAATATTGCTCAGCTAATCCATAAATGCTATAGATAATCTATCTCATCAGATAATTTGAAAAAGTATAGATTTAGTCTTAACCGTAGGCTTCTGTTTTAAAATAAAGCAATATTACCATCTAGTTGTAGCTACATCAAATTGCAATTACAAGACAATGAATTATCCACATTCAAGGCATGTAATCAAATAAAGCTACAAAATATGTGTATTCTCCTAATATGAATACATATTTTATCATAGCTATAATGAAATTAATTGCACTGGCATTAAGAAGCTACAATCTCTCACTTGATTTGATATGAATGAAAGTATAGATATGCTAATTTTGCTGTTCCTATACAAACACATTACAGTCATTCATCATCAGCATGAAGAATTGGTTTCAAAACCCCCCCAACCCCCACACCTCCATATCAGATTCCACAGAGTTCAAGTCTCTTATCCAAAATGGTGTAGTATTTGCATAAAACCTACACACATCTTCCAGTATACTATAAATCATCTCTACATTATTTATAATTTCAAATACAATTCAAATGTCATGTAGATGGTTGTTGTACTGTATTTTTAGGGGAAAATGATATAGAAAAAGGTTGCACACATTCAGTGCATCACAATTTTTTTTTTACTATTTAAACCTATAATTGTTTGAATACAGAGATGTGGAACCTGCAAATATGAAAGACCTGTAGTGCATTCTTTCCACATAGGATGACAGAGGTTATGCAAGACCTCACAGACACTTGAATATATGAATTTGCTGTAGGACAACTGAGAGAAGAATATATACACAGAGAGAGAGTTTTTCAGCCTTGTTTGACCACAGAATATTTATGCAAATTTCTCCAGGCCAGTGTTTCTCACATTTGGAAACTGCCACAATAACACTCTAGTTACTTGCTCCTTTATCCACTCATTTTTCCCAATAATACTGAAGGAGTTCTTGCTGTTCTCAGTATTGCTGGTCAGCTAATAATGTCATATTACATGAAATCCTCCAGATCAAGCCCCTGTCCAAATTTATGAATTAAAATGTGCAAACCCTGTAGTTCAGGGTTTTTAACTCTTGAAACATACCTCTTACTTCATATCTCTGTCCCTCTCAACACATGCCATTCTTTCTGCCTAAAACAGTTCTCCTAGTTCCCCACCTACCTAAATGTCACTGTCAGCTCTTTTGTGTCTCCTAATAAGCTTAAGCCCTCTGCAGAAACTTCTCTGATGCACCTGGCCCATTTATGTGCTGCCCTATGTGTGCCCTTGTGGTACCCTGTGTACATGTCAGGGATGGCATTTATCACAGGATTCTGTATGTGCTGATTTATTCTTACCTTGTCCCACCTGACTTCTATGGTCTCAAGGTCAGAGACTGTAGACCACAAGATTCATTCACACCTATTTTCATAGACATTCAATCAAGACCAACAGGCATCTTTCTAAAATGTACTCTATTACCTCTTATAAATAAATGTTAAGCATATTTCATTTAGGAGTGACACAGTCATCATTATGAACATTAATTTTTGAACTGAGTTATAATACAGTAAATCCGTAGTGTGAAGGAATATTTTTCCCTGCACAAAACAACTCCAGACTCAGATTATTATGCCTGATTTCTATAAAATTCTCTTAGCTCCCTGGCAGGCTATTAGCTCAGATTCCTGATCAATTCACTACTGTCTGTATTTGATGTAAAGAACAAGAAAAGGGGAAGAGGGCAGCAAAATAATGGTAAACAGCCGCTAAACCAAGTCAAGGTTTCCATGTAAGCCTATAAGAGAAAATTATTGACTTTACACTGATTGGTAATATATATTTTAGTTGCTACAAGACCCATTTTCCCCTTCAATTTTTATGCTCCTGGAAGATGGCCTCTGCCTAAATGAAGATTTCAAAGATTTCAATATTATAATAAAGGTAAATCTAAAGTGAATGAAATAAAACTATGAACTATGAAGGAAAATATCTCACCTTAGTTGAAACCTCAGCAATCAAATTCTGCTTATTTGGATCCACAAAATCCACAGACTGACCTTCAAATTCAATCTTCCAAGCATGGTACCCTACCAAATTAAAAAAAAAAAATTAGACAGTTACAAAGCAATAGTGATGAAGGTGTTGACAGGATAAACTCATAGGGATTTTTAAACAGATGCTCCAAGACTGAGATGTCTTTATAACTACTCATAACCCTCATCAGAAGAATTCATCTTCTCTAACTGGAAAATGAACTAATTTGAACACACATTTTGGAAAATACTCTCAGAAATACAATTCTTTTTTTAGGGCTGAGGCCATTGTCAGGTGCAGGCAAAATCAAAGGCATCAGAATTCAGATCACCAGGTTCAAACTGATACAGATTGAAGCATTTAGTGACTTATATCATTAGTGCATAGGACTCAGACATTGCACAGGAGAAATGGACAAAACCAATCTATTGCAAGGAAAATATAAAAAGCTAAAAACTGAAGAAAACTGAAAAGAATGAGGAATTCAGTACATATTTTGATAGAAAAATTATTTCACCAAAACGGTAAAATGCAACACAAGTCATAATCTTCTAGAAGTCATGATGAAAATAGTCACTGTTTTGGGCATGTTAATGTCCCTGAGGCTCTGAATGTTAAAGAATGTTGAGGTTTTCTTCCTTTTATTAACTGTATCTTGAGATTTACCTGCTTTTAGTAAATAGGCTAACTATTTAGGAAAATGGCATGCTACACTTAGTTACCAAGATTTTTCTTTAAAAAAATTATTGCATTGAAAGAAATAGAAGCCTCCATTTTCCTTTTAAACTTAATCCTTGGGGAAATCACTTGGTGAATGAAAGTGGAAAACTGGCAGCAAACACAAAGGTATGATGGTTATTCAGAGCTATTGCTAAAATCAGGGTGTTGCCTCAAAGTCTGGGAAAACTCAACAAAACCACCTTTGACTTCCACCCTTGATTGCTAAATTTCATGGTGGTCTCTACTTACTATTTGAATCCAAGTCACATAGTCTGTTAAGTACATTTTATGGATCTCTGATTTTTTTTGGTTTATTTATTCATTTATTATTCATTTATTCATATGTACATAATTATTTGAGCCATCTCTCTCCAGGATCCCTGGATCCCTTATTTTGAAACTTGGTTTTCCCCTTTCTCTTAAAGCATGCTGAATGAAGCACAATCTTGTTCTTGACCTAAGATTACTATAAGTAAAAGCTATAATATTCATTTTTATTACCAACCAGCATCACTCATGAGCAAATATAATTGGCAATATTGTTGTATTTTGGTCTGTGATAATCTATTCAGCCAAATTTTTAAAAAAACAATTTTAAAAGTAGAGTTCATCTTAACCTAACATATCATACAAAAGCCAAGTGCAGTCTTGGAAAGCATTTTCCCAAATCATTAACCTTATTTATTCAACCTGCCAATTCTGCATCCTGAATTGAATTCCCCAATTTTGTTCCTGTCTCATCCTAGAAGCTTCATCATTGTTTACTGTTCTCACACACTATTAAACTAAGAAAACACAAGAATCTACTTTGGAGAGGTAACATATTCAGAAGTAGAATAGAAAGATTCACCATATTCCTTCTGGTTATGGATATATAGCTGTGTTCTTATTATCAAAGCTGTTCTTTTTTTCTATTTATCTGTGCCAAAATGTAGTCTTAGGACATCCACAGGGTATTGGTTCCAGGACCCCCTCAAATACCAAAATCTGTGAATGGTCATGTCCCTTATATTACCTAAGCTTATCATCCTATGTACTGTAACACATCTCTGGGTTTCTTACAACACCTACCTAATACAACATAAATACAATGCAAATAGCAATTATATTGCATAAATTAGGGAACGAAGACAAGAAAAAAAATTATGTACGACCAAGTACAGACACTTTTTCCCCAATATTTTGATTGAATCTGCAGACGTAGAACCTGCAGATACAGAGGACTGACTCTATATTTTAACAAAAAACTTCACAACTGATTTCCTTAAAAAAATCTGCTTCTCTTATGGGCTTTCCCCTATGGTACTTTAAATTGTACCATTTATTTTTTATGCAATATATCCAATCAGAAAACTTTAGTTTCATTTCAGGAATTTAGTTTACACTAGTGAGACAATGTTCCTGGTTTGGGATATGAAGATTTCACATAGAAAAAAATAGTGCCAACCTCTTCTATCAAGAATCAAGCAGATGGTGATGAGATGGTCTCAGAGGAAGGATTGGATGTTGTAGCAATCAGCTAGGAAAGCAAAAGATAACCTTTCCTTTTGTCACCTTGCTCATTAATATAGTCTCAAGAAAGACTATCTAACTGGGGTAACACACATGGCCCATTGGCACACTCATGAAATATAACACAGCAATTTCATAGACAACCCTTCCGAGAGAACAGGATAAATAACACCAGCACTGCTGTACACTCTGTGACTTGCGCTCTTCAGCATGGAAGTATTCAATATAGCAAGATTGTTATCCACTTATTTTACTAAAATCCTTTCACATGAGCTGAATTATAAGCGTCTTGACTTATTGGTATAATCAACACATAGTGGGCACTCAATAAACTACTGCAAGTGAATTAATCTCAAGTCCATCCAGTTACAAACTTAACAATCAAGCATTCACTCTTGAAAATTACGTCAGAAATAGTAAAACAGAATGAGAGAGACCAAAGTAGCAGAAGCTGGTCAAATTTGCTTTTCGCACTGGGGGAAAAACACATGAAGCCGCACAGATTTGGCTAAAGGTGATGAGCTTACCTTATCCCGAATAATTTTACTAAGCATTCTTGTATCAACTCCATAAATTGCAGGAACCTGTAAGGAAAAAACCATGACAGTGAAATTGAAGGAAATTAGATTCACCGTATCGTTTTCAAGTTACAAATTTAGCTTCATCTATCTTCTTGAGCAGTAAATAATTTCCCCGCTCTTTCTTTTCTCTGACCCAGGGTGACTGTTGTCAGAACATGGTAAATTGCTGTTCCAGTTGAGCACAAGGCTCTCACTACACAAGCCCTTCCTCAGAACAAAAAATGAAAAACTATGAAGATCAATCGTCTGCTATGATTTTGTTGCTTTTAACCAAGGATTTTAAATAAGTAATATTATACACCAATTTATTTATTTTCACATAATGAAACATATATATGTATGAATATATATAGTGTTTGAAATATATTTCATGTATTTTGTATGTATGATAAATATACAAAAATTTATGTTTTAAAATAATGGAGTCAGTGAAATTCATAAGCAATTTTTAAAAATCTATGTTTTGAGGCAAATATTCCTGACACATAGTAGGCATTCATTTTTCCAAAGGCCCCTGTTGTATAGTCATACTGTATTAACATTTCCCCATCCTATTAGTCAATGAAGTGTCATTTTCATTTATTTGCTAAGGTTGGATTAAAACAGATTTAATATATATATAAAATGAAAGAACAATGAATTAGGAATCAGAAAAGGTTCTAAGTTCCTTTCTTCCACCAGTTATCTAAGAGATATTTAAGAAAGGTGTTTGCCCTCACCTGATTATAGAAAGAGGTGAACTGTTATTATCCTAGACCCTTTTCTGCTCTGCATATCTATGATTCTGGAAGATTTAGAGCACATTTCAAAAACAAAGTAATTATGGGACAGGTTTACACTAAAACTATAAGTTCTGACATGGAGAAGCCATAAACTAGGTGTCCTGAATAACACAAAGGAACATTTTGAGAGAGAGGTAGACCTTAATAACTATTTCAGAAATTAGATGTGTGGGAAATAAAGATAAATGCAGAAAGAAAAGAAAACAGTGATGGTCCAGGACATGACAGAGATACCTTCTCCTCCCTTTTAAATTTTAGAAAGGCTGATACCCAGGAGCCAAGATAAAGATTTTTTGATTTGTCAGGAAGAGGCAATATTTACCCCTATAGTTGGATACTCATTGGAGAGGCAGAGGCTTCTTGGAATAATATTCTATCAATTACAGGCCCAGCAGCAGTTGAACAAAAAGCAACTACAGTAACCCTGGAGGGGAAGCTAAATATAGCAAGTCTGTTAACTGCTAAGTACTTCTAACATTCAAACAAGGCAAATCCTCTCATTTGATGAGAAACTAATATTTAAAGTATGGAAAGTATAAGATAGGGTTTTGTAACCTTTTATCTGTGTTACTTCAGATGATATCATATCAAATTATGTGTCTTTAAGAATTAAAGATGACAAAAGTATTGTATAGAATGATTACACGGTGCAGCCAGATAGCCACAGAGCTAGTACTAAGCTCATGAAACAAGTTACATAACTAAGTCCAAGATTAAAGGGCAAGGAGTACTCTAACTGTGGAAGAAAATAGAAAATTCTAAAAAATTTCCTACCCCCTTTCCTAAATGAGACAGGGTACCAAGCATGTATGAGCACCACCTAGTGGGTAAATTGAAAATACATGGTCCTCTGTGTTCAGAGGAGTTCTGGACAGTTAAGTCTGCATGAAGTAAAAAAAAAAAAGACTCACTCTCTAAAACAGATTCATCCCAAACCGCACAAACTCAAACATGCTCATCTGTCTGTTTGGCCTTTTAGAATCTACGCAGACCTTCCCAACTTTCCACAGACCCACCCGTCCTCCATTGGTGATACTGGAATGTACTATAGCTTTCTCACCTTCTCTTCCTGCAGCCATTGCCCCAGACTCTTGGTAGCCAGCCAGTGGTTGTAGTCATTACTGTAATTCAGCACCAGCAGACCTGACACCTAGAAAGACAGGCAGACACCGTAAAGGGTTGTGCACAAAATATTATCCAACTCCTGTGACTCATCTTGGAGGTCAATCCACTGATATGACTTAAACTTTTAGAGAAATGATGAAAGAAAAGGTTATCAACAATTTTATTTTAAAATATATCACTGTTTATTTAATTTTCATGTGTGGGAACAGCTCACTTAGCTTGCTAAATGCAGAGACCAAGCTATTCTCCCTTTGGCACATTGTCCTTTTCCCTGTTGCATTTATCAATAAGCTATTCCATAATTACTTGCTGAATGCACATAGGAATAAAATAAGTTCCTTAATCTACATGTTAAGAAGACATAAACTTGGAGAAAAATATGAGAAATAGTGAAAGCTAAACTAAATGATAAATCTTAGTCATTCCAAAGTACAGTGGCAAATTTGGAATATAAATATTTGAATTTTTTATATGATCTATATTCCCAAGATATTATCCAAATGTCCTTGACCAGGCAACTGCAATGTATTTACTTTTAGAATGGTATATAAACTTATATTCATCCTTAAAGAGAATAAGATTAAAAAGCAAGTAAATGAAAACAAGAGTTGATTATTAAACTCCTTTTAAAAGATGATTCTTCATCAATTCTTACAGGACTTTTAACAACATTTTACAAATTAAGGTAAGTTTCTTCCAAAGCATTAAAACTCTAAAGTGCCCTGAGAAATGAAACTCAAGACAATGTTGTTAAAAGTCCTGTAAGAATTCATACCATAATATTGAGGGATGAATTTTGCCCATCTTAGATTCTTAAAACCTAAGTCAACCATAGTCACTCAAATTGGGACTGTTTACATAGCCATCACTGGTACTACCTTGATTCCATCAGATTCCATGTATTTGCTAAGTCCCAGTTCATCCAGGGCAGTGGTGTTCGGGGCGCCACCATTCCCAATAATAGGGTTGGCCATCGTGAGAATCTGTCCCTTGTAGGCTGGATCAGTAAGGGCTTCAGGGTACCTGAAACATGCAAAAATTATCAACAAGTGAATGTATACAACTATAAAATTATAATCTACATGCATACTCTGAATCATTGAACCTTTGAAATTAAATATCAGATTTAAATTCTACAAACCTATCTCTAGATTTAACAAACTTATGGAAGTTTTATGACAAAAATCAAAATTTACCCATGATACAACCCATATGAAAAGAAAAACTAATTCTTATGCACTAAGCTACACTCTCAGATAATTTTCACTGCTTCATTTTTTAAAAAGGATTTGAATTCCTTTAAAGTTCTTTTATAGCATTTTATTTTTTAAAATATTGCTGCTCTATTTAATGTTTACAGATATTCTAAAAATTCCCATAGCCTACCAGCTTTCAATGAATTGAAACTGGTGATTTTTTTTTATTGAGGGCTGCCAGCTTCACCAAAATATTAACTATCAAAAATTCTAAATTATTTTTCCAGTATACTTAGGACACTGATGAGTATCCTGATTATGTCAAAAATAGCTGCATGAGTTCATATATTTATTAAAACTCAGTACACATTTACAATAAGTGAGTTGGGCTGGAAGTTTGGCTCAAGCCATAAAGGGCCTGCCTAGCCATGAGTTCAAACTCCAGTACCACCAAAAAAAAAGGAAGAAACTTGTTTAAGCTTCACAAAGTGTTTAAAAAATATATGAATGAGTTGATTTATATGAAAGAATAACTCAATAAGGTTGTTTTTTAAAATATTTTCACTTTAGGGCTGGGAGCATGGTTCAAGTGGTAGAGTGCTTGTCTAGCAAGGATGAGGCTCTGGATTCAGTCCCCAGGACTGAAGAGAAAAAAAGAGAGAGAGACAGAGAGAGAGAGAGAGTCTCAGTCTCTACAACTTGACCTGAAGCATTTCTGACCTCTAAATTAAAATTAAGGATTCCAAAAAACTCTTCTTGAAGTACTGATAAAGAATGAAGGAGGCATGCCAGAGGACTATATTTTAAAGTTGGAGGGAAAGAGAACATAGGTATTTTTAACATGTATATATAAGAAACATTATTCCCACAGATGCCGGAGCAAGCCACACTTATTCCATGCACTCAAATACAATGCAACTGAATTTTTTTTCCTGTCCTTTTACATTCTGTCATCCTGCAGACTGAGTTAAACCAAATCTTTCTTCTGTATTACTACTGAAAGTGAATTTAGGTGCTGAGGGGGACAGAATCAACAACCTTGAAAGCAATAAAATTCAGCTCAGGTAGCAGTCAACATAAATTCCACAACCCTATCCAGACTAACTCCTACCAGAACTAACTTTGTCAACAGAACACTTAGTCTTTCAGTTGCTTAATCCCCAGGGTAACCTGAGTGCTATAGTATTTATCCACAGCTCCATCAGCTAATTTCTCAGAAGCCTCTTACCTGTCAGGAACTGATAATTTTTTAACCAAGGTTTACACACAATATAAATGCATTTCTTGAAGATGAAAAACAAAATAACCCCCTTAATTATCAACGACCTTACTGACTGAACCATGTGATGAATGAAAGCTACATCTCTCAGTGGAAAAATAGGGTCTGCGGTCTAATCTTATTAAATGAATGCCTTTTTCTACATCAAAAAAAAAATCTTTAATTAATTTTATTTCACTTCCCTTTCTTCTTTCTTTCCATAAAAGAACTGGCCGTTCCCTTTAAACATAAGCTTACAGTACTCTCCAGTAAATGAAGAAATTATAGCTTGTCCTAGAGAACTGCAGTGTTGGAAGCAAATTAATCCATCAGGTCCTGTTTGACTTTTGTGATGTGACAAGATTTATTACCCGTAATCTATCACTGAGAAGAAAACTCTAGTGCCCTCCATCATTCTGATCTATATTAAACAGTTGTTTGTTGGCAGGTATATTAACACAGCTAGTAATTAGTGCTGTCGAAAAGCTTAAATAATTGCCTGGTGAAGCAAAACTTTGCAAACAGATTTCATACACTGTAATTTAATGTTCTCACCAGTGGAACTATTTTAAAAACCATTTAGTATTTTTCATTTTACACAGAGAGGTAAGAATTTAGAAAATAATGCACATTAATAACATAATGACAGCTTGGTCAATCAATACTTTCAGTATCAGTTAACCCAGGTCCCCTTTGTCTTTACAAAACTAACCTGAATTTCCGTAAAGCATTCATCAAATGTTTTATAGGTTAGTTGATTGAATTTCCAATGGAAACCTCTTGAAACAATTCAGTCATTTCTTTAAAACCATGTTTTAAATCTCCAATTATAAATTTCTATCTAATCAAATCCCCTTACTTTTTAAGTGGGGAAACTAGAACTCACAAAAATTAAGCAATGTTCTCATAATTATATAATTAATTATTAATAATTAATAATTATGCTCACATATTCAGTTATCATTAGAACTGAGACCAGAACTTCGGCCTCCTGGTTCCCAGATAAATAGACATTTGTTGACTAGGTAAACCAGCCACGTGATTTCCACAGCAATTCTTATCGTTGTTGCCACACATCACTTACTAGATCTTAAATAGTACGTTGGGTCACAGTTGGTAATTATTAAAAATATTAGGGCTGAGTAACATAGCTTAGTGGTAGAGTGCTTGCCTAGCATGTGCAAGGGCCTGGATTCGATCCCCAGTACCACCCAAAAATAAATTAGATTTGCTTACTCTCCCAATTATTGTAGGGCAATAAGTGTATCTGTTAGTTCAGCTTTGTTAATAGGTACAAAATTATATAAGTTACCCAAGGACTTTCTTATCTCCTTATAGTATTTCAAGTTAGATTACAAAATTGGTTCTTAATTTTACTAGTGGAATGGTTTTAAAGTATGCTACTCTTTCTTCCCTGCCTTAATTTTCACCTTAGTCAGAGCCATACCTCCCCTTGCAGAAGTCATTTGGTAACTTCACATAACATCATTTGGTAACTGCACATGTCTTTGCAACATAAATGTCTAGAATTAATTTTGTTCTTTTTTTTCAGGGCACTGCCAAAGCATCCATTTTCTCTTTTATTTGCAGTAACAGGAAGTTTGTGTCTCTACCTCTTTTCAGGCACCATGCAACTATAAGACAATGTATAATCTTATGATACAGTGATTTCAATTTACCCCCCTGAGTCAGATTATCTATATAGAGGAAGAATAAAGATTGGAATAAAAACATTACTCACCCTCCTAGGCCAGTATTAAAAACCACTTCGCCAGAAACTGAGGATGGATGGCCAAAGGAGTAACCTTTCATCTTTGTTCCATCTTCCAGGACAATGTGTGCTGTCTGTGCCTAATGGAGAAGTTACATGACTCAGTAGAATACCCAATACAAAATACACAAAAAAAAATTCCAAAAATAGAATATATAAACAACAAATAAACACACAGCATATTTAATGAAACCATACTTCCCAGATTTGGAATTGCTCTTTTGCTACTTGGCACTTTTCTTCAAATATATGATCCTTGTCACTGGCAGGTGTTTTGTTCTGTTTCGCTTGAAAGAGGAACTGAAGCATGTCAATACATTCATTGCCTATTCCAAGTCTACTGGTGGAGTTGTTGACAAGCTAGAAATACTTCAGTTTAGTTAAAATGCTACAGTCTATCTTTTCCTGCTTAATATTCCCTAGCTTTGCTCAAGTATGGCTTTAAGGGAAGTTCATGAGTTTGCAAAAACATTGTGAGTCATACCATGCAGCTCACGCTCACTCTGAGGTTTAGAGCTAGAAGGAATCTTTGAGACTCCTATCAAATTGTGTTCCACAGAGCTCTTGTGTTTGATGGGAGTTATCCCAAGGGCTGCCTTCTTCACACCAGCTCTATGGTCATGAAGAAGTTGGAGATTTATCACTCTATTAATACTGATACAAAAGCAACCATGTGGACTGCTATAAGAGTATATCATATTTTGCTTTTTATTAGAGTTAATTATATCCATGTCTGGTTCCATCTTTAAGCTATGAGCATTCTGAATTTGATTACTTTATATTAATCTTTGAACCAGTTTCTATAAAATTGTTGGCTAAGAAAAGGAACAATTAGAGAAACTTATCTAACAAGCAGACTTTATGTAACTCTAAATTTCCATAGAATTCAAGGAAGGGAAAAATGTGTTAAACCACATCTTGAGAGGCAAAATCTTGACTCTGGAAAATTCTATAAGATAAACTAATTGGAAAATCACTTTCAAAAATAAAGAAAAATATCTCTGTAACAATTGAGGAAATTTGAATGATAAATTGATGTTTGATTATGTTGGGTATGATCATTTTTAGGATTAATGATAGTATTATGGTTATATTTTAAGCATATTTGACTTTTCAAAAGATATATACTGGAATATTAAAGCATAAAATAATGTGATATCTGAGCTATGCTTCAAATAATCAGGTATTTCAGAGATGGATAGGAGTATATGTAGAGAAACTTCAGTTTGCCCATGAGTTGCAGTTGTTATAGGAAGGGAGATCATTATTTTTTTTTCTGTAGGGTTAAGTGAAATCATTAGAGACAAAAATATACTAATTCTCTATGTTTCGTCCTTCACAGTTTTAGGACTACAGTCATAGTATCTCAACCTTTGAGTCTTGCTATTTCACCTTCGAGCACGCACACACACACACACACACCCCAACTTTATTAGACAACAGTTACTCAATAAATGATGTCTAGACCTTTGTTTATATACTCCCCTAGCTTTATAACATGCATTCAGTTTTTTTTCCATTGCTAAAATGGAAAAAGCCCATTATTTTTCTACAATAATGTTCTCTGCAGAAATAAGATGCCTCTTTTAGATTCAAAGAGTCTTAGTTTCTTGCCATCAAAATGGTTAAAATAGCTTTTTGATTATACTGTTCCTAAACTTTATATTTGGGCATATATACACATTATTATATTTATACACAAGACTATTTGTTTCCTGTTAAGTTGACAGAAGATGCTTAACATGTTCTTCTCAACAGATAATTAGGGGTTTTTCAAATCAGAAATGTAACGTGGATTTCAAGTTATAGTTCTGAGAAAAATTGAGCAAAGCTGTCTACTGTACATTTTTTATGTTGTTTATGTGAGAAAGAGAGAGAGTGTGGAGTGTGTGTGTCCAGGGACATGTTTAATGAAAAGAATTTTGTCCTTTAATTGACCTATTAAATTGTCTTTGAAGTTAAGTTTTCTATAGTTTTAGAATCAGCATTTGAGATCACAAGCGTGATACTGTCTTTAAATAGTTATGGACCATCTTCACAGTCACTAAATTAAAAAGAAGAGTTTGAAATTCCTCAACACTAAGGAAACCACAGTAATTTTAATTTCATTTAATATGACCAATGAAAAGACTTCTCTGGCAGAGATTTACTTAACACACACATGTCTGAATTCTGCTTCTGTACCTAGAGAATCAACTTTGCATGTTACTTCTAATAACATGATATTCTTATTCTGCATTTGTTTTAATTAGTCGATTACTGTTGTCTAATTATAATTGGAGACAGAAGCTAATAATTTTAGAAATTAAGAGTGGTAGCATTCCATTTATTTCCAAAAATTTATAAGAAGCCCTTCTATAGAGATGGGTCTCAATTGGATTGTACTTATTAGGAAAACACCCAGTTAACTCTGACATGTTTCACTAGCTAAAACCTTTTGGTCCAAGTGATGAAAATTTATTATCAAAAATATTTTCTACTGGAAATACTATTTTCTGTACTTGAGGAAGTCACGTGTAACCAACATGCTTTCACCAAATGGAAGAAAGGAAGGAAATATTTTCTTAAATAATATATAACTTTAATAGAACCCAAAATAACTGTACTTAATTAGCACAACTTGGGTGAGAGTTGCAAATTTCAATTATTTTCTGTATACAGTTTATCTACCCTACTCTGAATCAGGCCTGCCTAAAGTATCACCTTGTTTATATTTTCCTTTGCTTTCCTCAGTTCTCTTCTCATCTAAGAGTTCAAATTGTCTGATCTCTGGTCTAGACACTATTTAAATATTTTAAAGAAAGGTAAAAATTAACACAACAAATTAAACTCTTGTTAGGTTTTTCCTACAATTCTGTTTGGTATTTGTCTTCTTCTCTCCATAGAACTAGTTTTCTATTTTGCTTTCCTCTTTCTAAAGATATATTTGAGGAGACATTTACTGCTGCCTGAAATAGTCCCTGAGATTGTGTTCAATATGTCTTTTGCTCCCTTAATTATATTTTTTGTTCTTTTTTGGCAGTTTTTATAGATCTTCCAATTCTCTTTTCCACTCCACATTATATTGTTACAAGGCTTTGTTTATTGCCTAGAGTACTGTTTATATTCCTCTTAACTACACTGGCCTCCAATGAGTTTAAAATGATGAGTGCCAATTGACACATCCATGAATGGATAGAGGAACTCTGAACAGAGAGCTATTATTTGGAATCTCCTCTTCTAGCTAACAGTTCCCCAAATGCTATTTCATTCCAACGAGTCCAAAATAAATCATCTTGTTACATCTTAAGACATTTTAGTAGCCTCTGCCTACTGACAGGTGCATGATCTAGGAATTAGATTATAATATTAAGTTATAATTTAAGTGTCTACTGACAGAGCACTTGGGTACTTTGGAAGCTGAACAAAAGAAAACGTCTATAGTTAAAGAATGTCAGGAAAAGTAAACAAATGATTATATAAATATGAATTCTACAAAATAACAAGCCTTAACATGACATTGTCCCTATGTGTTTAACAAAAATATATATGTTAATAAGACAATTTAGTTATTAAAGTCATAACCATCACTGAGCTACTACATTGTGCTAAGAACCTTGCTAGGCTCTGAATGAATATCTCCAACACTCCGATTTAGCAAAAAAGCTACATATGTATGTGGATTGAAAAATAAAGAAAACCTCAAGAAGAATGTCACTGAAGCATTGCTGTAACACCTGGAAATACAAAGGTCATTTCCATTGCTTCCCAAGTGTTCTGCCAGCCTCCAGTCTCTCCCTGTTTACAGCCATCCTATATGGTGCAGTTAAGGCTTTCTTAAACATTTATTGAATGACAGGAACCCTCAACTTCTTCAATTAGCATTAAAAGTCCATTCAACTGGCCCATTCTCCATATGTAATACCTTAGGATCTTGCTCTCTGCATCAGTTCCTTGTGCATAAATGCCTCTTTGTGCCCTGTATATATTCTGGTGCCCAGGCTATGCACTCAAGGATCACTCAAACCAGAATTAATCACTGATTGATTGCCCTATGCTCCAACTGCATTCCGTGCGTACTGCTTGTGTATTGCCTTCTAGTTGCTTAAAGTATTATTCCACCTTACTAGATTGTGACTTAACAGAAAGCCAGAGCCTAATTCAACATTGTCTTCCCCACAGAAATATCTGACTGTGGTTCACCCAGTACTGTCGTCACCATAAACATGGTGAATACATAGAAACAGTAGCTATCGTGTGGATGCCAACACTATGGTGTTTCAAAGTAATTCTTTGATGCCACTGGATTCTCATTATTTTTGCTAATTTTCCCATTCCCTTGAAAGTAAAGACAGACATTCTATATAGGTATAGTTCATGCTAAAAGATAAAAGGAAAGACCTAATTGAGACTAGGTGTCAACTATTACCCAGCAAATTACCCCTAGGTTTTCCTTACCAACAGGTATTTATAGGTAATGTCTTCAGAAGAAGATTCCAGAAGAGGACTTCTAAATTTCATCTTTTAGAATTCTTCATAAATTGTTTCCACTATTAATGTTAAAAGCTGTCTACATTATCTTAAAATCTAATCCTCCATCATTGACAAAAAGGAATAAAACTGCATTCAGTATGTATAACCCAAACATTCTCTTTTCTCTCTTCATTGTCTATTCTACCCACTTATATGGCTTCATAGTTGCAATATCATATTCCTATACCAAATTTCCAAATAATTTTGTAACTAATAATTAGCCAATTTTTCTCCCTTCTCCAAACCTCTGAGGTTGTTATGTTTTTGTTATTACTGTTACTGGGGTTTATGTATAATGTTAGTATATCCTTGACACTAATAGACACTTACACAGTTAATTGTTAAAATACTAACTGAATATAATATAGATTTCAAGTTGTCTCTTGTGTGAGTTCACACATTAAAGCACATCTTCACATTTGTAAAAGTGAGGCTCTAATGTTCTGTTTGGGGACAAGGTCTTACTATGTATTCCAGCTTGACCTCAAACTTGGGATCCTACTGCCTCAACCTACTAAGTTCTGGGTTTACAGCTTGGACATCATACTGGGCCTTAAAAATTAGCATT